TATTTTCTTCTACATCCAATCTCATTCGAGCGTGAAAAGTATTGCGAAAAAACAAAATTTAACTAAATTACTGGAAAAAAAAAACTATTTTTTTCTAAAAAAACTCACTCAATTATGCGATTCATGAATCTTTATTGTATTTAGTGAAAATAATTCATAGAAATCTTTGTAAGAAATAATTTTCAAATAAATTAATAACAAAATAGCTGATAGATGTTTTTTTTTTCTTTTGTAAAATATTTATGTGTAATAGAAATTATAATTTTTAAGTTTGTTGATGAGATATATTTTTAATATTTGTAGTTTCAAAATGATTGATGGATATAAAAAAATTATTTGATAGTTAGCATTCTAAAAAAATCTCAGTAAAAATATTAAATTATTTTCACTAACTTTAAAAATTCATTCGGGGTGCATTATATGCATGATTTATAGCGTTTCGATGGTGCAAAGTGCTATTAATTCTTTTCGATGATGTTAAGTTCCAAAATGTTATATTTCGAGAGTGCAAAGTAGAATTAAGCCATTAAAATTTATGATTTTACACTACCAAACATGTCAAGTAATTACATAAGTAACTTGGTTTATAATAATTAATGAATATGCTTGGTGTCAGTGGCGAAGCCAAGATTTCATAACTAGGGGGGCGAATATACAGTAAAATAATTAAACTTAGATGGTTCGGGAGTAGCGCCCCTGAAAAAAAAAATAGGAATTTTTTTTACAAAACCAGAAGATAGGAAAAAAAAATCTAGAACCTTTTTTTCCATTAATTCAGACTTTGAATGAACTAAATAAATATATAGGTATAATTTAGTGGACTTTTCTTTCAATTAAGGATGGGTTTGAGTAGATTCATTTATTATTTTTCTATGTTTTCTTCAACTACAAAATACTAATTAATTTTACTTTTTATATAAACGTAAATTGTTTAATATTATTCTTCTAAAATTGTTGGCGCTACATTTCTTTAGTGAAGATTGAAGAAATTCGCCATACGTGGAAATTAAAAATAGTCAAAGATTTGTTTTCCATGTTTATTTTGTAATTAATTAGAGTCATATTCTTGTAATATTGTTATTAGGACTTAGATTTATTTCCATGTATTATATTCTAGTTAGGTATCTTTTGTACTTATCTAGAATAGAAGTAGAAATCGACTAGGATTTTATTACCTAGTCAAATTGATTTCTTAGGGCCAAGTTAGGTTTAGGGTGGTGATTTCGTGCCTATATAAGGCCATCAATCTCATATGAGTCCTGTGGAGCTTTAATAAGAAAAATCCCAGCATAAAGGCTTTGAAGGGTGCAGCCCGTGCTGCAGCCCTGTCGGCACATCAGGTGTGGCAACATGACGGGTTTCTTCTACCAGGCCATAAAGAAGATCGGCGTTTCGGTCGATCCGCCGTTTGAAGGGAGCTCAACATTGGAAGAAGTCCAAGAGTGCGGATGGAGGAATTGCTTTGATTATCAACAACTTCGAGTCGTGTGCAAGAACGGCGTATAACATAAAGAAGGAGTCTTTAGTGTTTTATTAAGTCCAATTAATGTACACTGTAAATCTGAACTAGTTTGCAAGTTCTCGTGGATATAGGGTACATTTGTATCCGAACCACATTAAATTCTTGTGTTTTTTATTCTGCTTTTAGTAGATTAATTACTGTGACAACACAAGAATTCTGTTACCACACCTAATGTCGTAACAAGTAGTCTGTCTCAACAGAACGAGTGGATTTTCAAAGTCATTTTAAATCTACAAAAATAAATGTTAAAAATATAGGAGCACAATAAAAATTCAATAAATTATATATATATATATATATATATATATATATATAGGGCTGCATGGATCGGTTTTAACCACCAATCAACCCATTTTCGACCCATAATTTGTGATGGATAATCAACCATCAACCGATCCATTTAAGTTGGGTCGATAATGTCAACCAACCCATGTACAGTTGGGTCGATAATGGTTTCTAATACGCTAAAAAGTTGGTTAGTCGGGTAATATCGACCAACCAACTTTGTTTATTAATTTATTATTTATTAATTTTAATTAAAATGTTTAATATTTTTAATTTCAAATTTCTATTTTACATCACATTTCTTAAACTGTCTAATATTAACCAAAATCCTAAAACCAATAAATCTAACCTAAATATCTCATTTGAACTATTTTAATTTTAAGACATATAGTCTAAATATTTGGACGATTATTATTTGTTGAACTATTTATGTTTTATTGCAATATATATGTCCGTAATGTTTTGAATTTTTTTTTTGAGTATTGTTGAACTAGTCACATTTAATTTATAAAAGATATAGTGTTGTAACAACTAATAAAATATTAAAAAAATTAAAAAATATTTAGATGGATGACCCATCAACCAAACCACAAACCGACCCACTAAATTGGTTTGCAACCATCACCCAACCCATGTCAATTGGGTCGTTAACAATTTCCATTATTTACCAAAGTTGATTGAATGGATTGTGTTGGTTTTATGGTTGGTTTTTAAACCAAACCAACTAACACACAACCCTATATATATATATATATATATATATATATATATATATATATATATATATATATATATATATATATATATATATATACTAGTAAAAAATTAAAATTTTAGGCGGGCATGGCCGCGTTTGGCCTTACACCGGCTTGCTTCCCCACTGCATGGTGTACTACTCTAAAGTAAAATTAAATTAAAAGACAAATTGTTATTTTAATTAAAACTACAGTATTGACTTTTTGATGCTTAGTTTGTACGAAATCTTGGGCAAGGTGGGTTTATATAGTTGACCATAATAACCATAAATATAATCAGTCAATGCATACTTTCAGCCACTCAAATACTACCTCAGATCGCCTCTCACTGCTCCACAATTTTTTCTTTCTTCATTTTGTTCAGCTAATAAGCTTCCATTTCAGGTGATTTAATTTCCCTTTTTAGTGTTTTATTAATATGTATTTTGCTATACAATTTTTTGTTAACAAAAGAATTGTTATAATATCTTTTTATTTTTCTTGTAATTATGCAGTTACAGATCTGAAGCCATAAAGGGTTTAATTCAACAAACTTCAGGTGAATCAAATTTCTCTCCCTTTCCCTTTCGTGACTCAACTCGAAAATCGTAATTAATATTTGCGAAAATTCCCAGTAATTATTATTTCGAGCTAATAGCACAGACCTTCCTGTGTTAATTCTAATAGCCCAAAAACTCCTTGTATTAAAAAAATTAGCAAGAAGCTCTTCATGTTGTATTTTTTTTTAAAACATCGGTCCTTATTTTGAAATTTATTGTTGACTAATTTGATTTTTTTCATGGCCTAAAGTATGTAGCGTTACACTTTATATTGACGTGTACAAATAATTTTAATTTACACGATCAATTCAAAACTTTTAAAAATTTCACCTAAGAAAAACATATTTTTTCTTTGTGACCGTACCAAAACTCTACCACAAAATGGAATGACCATATGCAGGGCTGGTCCGACATTTGAGGTCGATAATATAAGTTGTATGATTAATAATATAGGAGTTCGGGAGCAACGCCCCGAATTTTTTTTTTTTTTTTGCCATATTATGCTTAATGACATAATATAAATAAATTATTTATTAATAAAACCCTCATAAATAGAAGATTGAAATTTTTAGAGCTAATTGCACATAAGCCCCTGTGTAATCTTGAATAGCCAAAAAAGTCCTTGTGTTATAAAAATTAGCAAATACCCCCCTATATTTTGTTTGACAAAGAACTTCGCCCCTTTTTCTAAAATTAGCTGCTAAGTTATATGAAATTACTAAACTAACCCTAATAATATTTAATAATATTTCAATTTTAAATAAATAAAATGCATAAAATAAAATAATTAAAAAAAATGAAAAAAAAGAAAGAAAGAAGAACAAAAAATTTATCAGAGGGCAGTCAACTCATGGCATCATCTTGCTCCCCCAACCCTCCACCGCCGCACCACCACTGCCAACACACCCGCCGCCCCACTTCAAACAATTACTTCAAAAAGTTTTTAATTCAAATCCACCATTAGAGAAACGGAGAAGGGACGGGCAATTCTTCCAATTCTCATCTGTCAATTCTTCAATGTGAAGTGCCTTCGTTTTCCGCTGGGTTTCGATGGAGAAAGCAATTTTTTTTTTGTTTTTCCTTCTTTTGCAAACGGGCTGGAATTCTGGAGAGAGGGAGAGGAAGCTGATTAGGTTTTAAGAAATTATGAAAATTGCAATTTGGTCCTATTCAATTTGGAGAGAGGGCTTTTTTGAAATTATTAGGGGCTGAATCGAAAATTCTAAAAACTTCATTTCAGGCATGTGAAAAATCCGGGATAAATTTGTAATTTTCGAAAATGATGAGTTAGGGGTATTTTGGTCTTTTTAGGTCAAAAATCAGACTCCCAGTCGCACAAACGGCGAGTGTATCACACATTGAGCTCGGAGGGTCCTTTTTGGCTTTGACTAATTTTCACAGGGGGTTATGTGCTAATTTTTTTAACACGGGTGTTTTTTCGGCAATTTGAGATTATACAGGGGTGGTTTTTGCAAAAAACCCAAATTTTTAATGTATGTCTAGATTAAAAAAAATTATGTATAGGAAATGTTAGAGAAGCATGTAATATTTTTTGTTTGAATAAAAAAGAATATTAAATCTTATATCTATTTTTAAACTGTTTTTTAAAATGAATAATAGAAGAATAAACTTTTTTTAAACAATAACACAATAATTTTTTTGCACATAAGAAATATAATACCGAAATGTCTTGTTAATCTAACTTCACTAAAGACTATCTGAGTTCTCCATTTTAAATATTACTTAATTCCTTTTAGTATCTTAATTTGTTGCAATAATCTTTTACCTTTTTTGAGTGGTTTTTCCTTTTTTCTTGTTTTCATTTTTTCCTGTTATTTTTTTTAGAAGAATTTTGTTGCAATGACGTTTTGTGCAGGGAATTATAAGAAGTGGTTAAAAATGGACAAGTTGGTAGAATATGGACTAGACAAAGTACGGGACAGGTTGAACTTCCACTCCACTTTTGAAACTCTGCAAAGAAACTTAAAGACATTGAGTGATCGAGAATTTGATGTCACGAACCAAGTGAAGAATGCCGAGCTTTCTGGTAAGAAGAAAAGAAAAAGAGAAGTTGAGAATTGGTTAACAAATGTAAAAATGATTGAAGATGAGTTTCTTGAATTGGAGAATCAAGTACAATCACAAGGATATTTTAGTAGGGTCAGAACCGGAGATCGGGAAGCAAAACTCAATCAAAGAGTAGTTGAGCTTCTTGACCGGAGTCAGAATTTCGGCGAGCTTCTACTTGATGTAGTTGATGGGAAAAGAGGGCAGGAATTGCTTACCAAGAGGCTGATTGGCAAAGCATTTGAGAAAAACGTCGAAATAATTTGGGAACGTTTGGCAAATGATGAAGTGAAGAGCATTGGGGTTTACGGTATGGGTGGTGTGGGGAAGACGACTTTGACAAAGCACATCCATAACAAACTTGTGAGAGAAATGCAAGACAGTGTTGTTTGGGTTACAGTGTCTCATGTTAGGAACATAAGCAAGTTGCAAGACGAAATAGCTCGTTCTTTAGATATACTTCTTTCAGATGAGGATAGCGAAGACAAGAGAGCGTCGAGTTTGTATGGAGCGTTGTCTCAAAGAAGGAACTTTTTTATGATATTAGATGATGTATGGGGAAATATTGATTTGGAAAAGTTGGGAGATCCACTTGGTGTGGAGGGTGGTAGATTGATGATAACAACTCGTTCATTGGAAGTTTGTCGGCGCATTGGTTGCAGAGAAGTGATTGAAGTAAAAATTCTGAGTGAGGATGAAGCGTGGGAGCTATTTAGAGAAACTCTTGGACAAGAGACGGCACTTAGTCATCCAATACAACATGTTGCCAAGTCTATGGCGGAAGTGTGTGACGGTTTGCCGTTAGGGATCATCACCGTAGCTGGTGGCATGAGGGGCGAGACCGATGTTCGTGTGTGGAGAGATGCATTGGTCGAATTAAAGGAATCTGTTATGGGGCAACATGAGATGGAAGATAAGGTTTTCAAAGTACTTAAATACAGTTTCGATAGATTGGATCCAGGTCATATAAGGCAAGAAAAAAGCACTTGGTACACAGAGTTACAACTATGTTTCCTGTATTGCTCTTTGTATCCAGAAGACTATAGGATCGAAAGAAAAGAATTAATTGGAAGGTTCATCTTAGAGGAGTTAGTGGGTCAAAGAAAGCGCGTGAAGGAGCAAGTCGACAAGGGCCATTCGATACTTAATAAATTAGTGAACGTCTGCTTGCTGGAAAGGACTTGTGATTATGAAGATGAAGATTGCGTGAAAATGCATGATCTAGTAAGAGCTATGGCGTTGAGGATTACCGAAGGTAAGAGTATGGTGAAAGTTGGGTACAAATCGTTGAAAAGAATTCCAAATGAAAGAAAATGGACGAATGATCTTGACAAGGTGTCCTTGATGAGAAATAACATAGTGGAAATTCCAGATGGTATATCTCCAAATTGCGCTAACATGTCTACATTGCGTTTGGATTGGAATCAAAACTTGCAGGTCATTCCAGAATCATTCTTTTCGCGAATGGACAACCTGAGCACTCTCGATTTGTCTCATACCGGTATTAATGAGTTGCCAAATTCTTTGTCCGGCTTGGAGACTATGAAGGCCTTGATCCTCGAAGGTTGTTCAAATCTTGTGAACGTGCCGTACTTGGGAAAGATGAAAGCACTAAAGCAATTGGACCTCTCATGGACAAGGATAAGGGAATTGCCTCCAGGTGTCGAGAAACTCGTCAATCTCAAGTGGTTGTTAATGGGGGGAGCATTTGAAATGGAGATGTTACCAAAAGGTATCTTACTCAATTTTCCGTATCTTCAGCGTCTCCATATTCCGGATAAAATAGAAGCACCGTTAGATGAATTGGAGAGGTTGGATGAGCTGGAAGAGTTCAGTGGGCGAGTAAAGAGTAGGTGTGATTTTAATCGATTTATTCAATCTCAACAAAGGAAGGAGGTTGGTGTTTTCTATTCCATCTTTGTGGGAAAGCAAGCCGCCTATAAAACTACCAACGTAAAGTGGGTGGATTATACTAAAGTGGTTTTGTACAAAATCGACCTTAATAAAGAAGAAGAGAGAAGCATGACTATGTTGGCACGCGACATCCAACACCTAGAATTTGTGTGTTGTGAGTGCGTAAGCGGATGCTTAGTGGACGATTTTCCATTATTAGACAATCCCAAATCCATTCAAACATTGGAAATTAAATGGTGCGAAGGAATAGAGTGCATCACGAGAAATCATGAGCACGCAATAGGTGATGTTGTTCCCTCGCAGGCTATATTTTCGTATCTTAAGAAGTTGAGCGTCGTAGGATGTAACAAGATGAAGAAGCTGGGAGTATCAGCGTCGCAACTCTCAAACCTTGAACAACTCTCGATTGAGAACTGTGTAGAGATAGAAGAGATCGTCACAAGATCAAGTGAAAAAGAAGAAGAAGAAGACGAAGAAGAAGGACATATGAATAATATCGTGCCGTCTATCCTCAACGGTAGATCTCATATATATCACTCTTTCCCCAAACTAAAGAAGATATGGCTATATAAGTTACCAAAACTGAAGAGCATATGCAAGGCAACAATCAAATGCATTAACATTGAGGAAATTACTTTGAGGGGATGTCCATTATTAAACGAAGTGCCGTTGTATTTTCCTGTCGTGGACGATGGACAAACGTATTATTCTGCTCCACCATCTCTGAGAGAGATCAACATACTCCAAAGAGAGAAAGAATGGTGGGAATCAATGGTGTGGGAGCATCCCTCCCACACACTTCTCCTCCAACCCCTCCTTAGATTTCGGTAATTCGTGTGTGCGAAGATAAGCCATTTCATTACAAGTCTAGTGAGTTGATATTCATTTTTCTTTAATTTTTTGTATGGCATAATTTTCTGTTACAGTATTTTTTTCCCCTTACATTGCCAAAGAACCCCAATCCTTCAATCCATGAATACATTAATATTGTTTAGACATCCTGTTTAGGCTTATAATAATTTTCTTCAAACGTGACAAGTAAGGTTGATCCTGGTAAATTATAGGGTTTTTTTCTCTCGCTCATTTGATGGTTAAATTTGTCACTTCATAAAAATTTATTATTGTACATATTTTATTTAATAATTATTGTTTTATTTTATTCAATTATAGGAGGGTTCTGGCTGCCCTAACTTATTGGTATCCGTCTATATCCTTTCTAAAAAAACAAGAAAACAAAAAATAAAACAAAAACAAAAAATCCGGCCGATAAATTGACTGCAAGATTTATACAAAAACTATGGCTATGTTTGACCCATTTTCGAAGAAAAAAAGTCATTCTTCCGAAAATAATTATTTTGTAGAAGAAACATTAATTTCTTTCTCATATTATTATCTAACTTTTTTCAAATTATTCACCAATATATTTTCAAAAAAAATTGAAAGGGACTAAAACTTAGATAATTTAATAAACAAAACAGATCATATTGAATATTCTTCAATATATTTTTGCAAGAAAATAAAAATTGAATATTCTAGCCCACAGTATATTGGTTTTGGGATTTTTTTATTTGAACTAAAAATACGGGGTTAATTGCAGATACCGCTCCTATAAAATCTCTAATTGTCGAATACCTCCCTGCAAAAAAAAAAAAATTGCACATACCTCCAGTGTAAACAAAGTCAAGGCATTGAGAGCCTTTAGAGCAAATCATGTCGCTCTCACGCGCTCCTACTGTGAATTTTTTCTTAATTCTCGATTGTGAAATATCAAAAATGTCCCCAACCCCCTTTCCCCTCCCTCTTCTTCATTCTTCATCGTCCCCAACATGTACCAGTCACCACCAACAATTACCGCTACCGGCCGCAAGATGAAGATGGTGTAAGAAAACTCCCTCTTGACCGTCGCAAAATTACTCCATCACAATCTCTTTCTGGGCTTCCATTTTCGCCGCCCCAGTCGGTCTAATTTTTGGCCCTCCGCCGCCCACCGCTGCACCTCCGCCGCGAAATGGGGCACCCTCAATTGGGGTATACTTGTCTTTTTACCTTCAGTCAACCATTAAAATAGTAATGAGTGTGGTGAGCTTCGAAAAGTATTATTATATGAGTGAATTTGTTTTTGACAGGGATATTTAACAATTAGAGATTTCATAGGGGTGATATTTGCTATTAACTCTAAAAATGCGTGGATCTTTCTCACAAGAAATAAAATCATGCATCTCTAATGAATCCCAGATTTCCTGCAAATCCCCAATAGTCTTCCAGTAGATTATCATAGTACTTAAAATATTTATAAATCCCATCCTTTTAATCAATCATTAAGAAAATAATCCCCAACAAACCCTACGTATTATTTGTGCAGTTCAACAAATCCTACTACATAGCAATGTAAAATAATGACCATAGAAAATATCTCCATTTGCTCAATGAAGAAGAAGTAAGTTTGTTTACATTGTCTTCTTATAAATCGATGCTTAAAATAGTGGATGTCAATGGCTCAATTTATTGGAATAAGATCTAAAATAATTTGTTCACTATGACATTTTTGTTAAAAAACAACTGGTCATGGATACCATAGACAAGATAGATCTTAAAGAAACAAGATTAATCTTTATTAGTAAAATGTACTATTATTTTCTTTATTGCGTAATTGCAATTATAATTGCATGCATGATATAATCCTATAGAAATGTCAAATTTTTGTGTTGGTTTTGGCATTTTTAGTTTGCATTTCTACAGGTTAACCCTGTTATATCCACTGCCAAAAGAGACCAGGAATAAATTCTATTAAAGGAGAGTAATTGTAAAAAAATTATAGGCAAGTAATATTAGCTTTTTTATGTACTAGCATTATTTATTAGCTAAATATTTTGGAAAATCTGCAATAACATGCAAGTGGAACTCAAATAATTATGCAACTTCCATATATAAAAGTACTATTAAGGATGCCCGCATGGGTATGGCTCAACTGTTTCCGTGGTGGTAAGTTGATACAAGCCTCTAGGATCGAATCCTGCCAGCCACAATGTTGGAATTTCAACTCCAATGAGGGTTGGTTCTTTGTGGCCGATGGGCATCAAGTCCGGATCCACTACCCTAACGAGCCGTTGAGCCACCATAATTGATATGCCTAATTGGGTCAATCCAATGAACTTACAATTTATTTACCTACTGGGCCACGAGCCCAATATTGAAGACCAATATCACCGAGACCCAATCACCTTCAAATAAGGTTTGGGTCCAACGATCTCATCTAAGGTATAAGTAACGATATAATTCATTTGCTAAAGGTACGCCCTATTATTTAAATAATACTACAATACGTATTCTCTGAACAATTTCCACAATCCGCACGTCTGACTTGAGCGTCGGAGGGGTTTCCGCCGGATCAACCCCCGGCCTAGTTCACGTGTTCTTTGTTCGCAGGTATCTCAGGGCCATCTAGCACGTGAGCAGTGATCCACTTTGCTCTCCCAGCTCCCTCGATCTCAACTATCTAAGGTGATCTATTTTTAGCATCATCAATAATATATACTTCACCTTTTGGTACAAGTACTATTAAGGAGTTAGAGAAAAGTTGAGTGACTTTGGACTTCAAGAATTACGATCAAAGATGTATGGTAATTTTATAATCATACTCTCTTATTTGATACAGTATCAGTGTCCGGCGTTTAATACTTTCAGTTAGTATCTATTTCTGTGTAATTATTTGTTAAAGTTGCTCGAAACATAGTTTGTACTTGGTTGAATCATTTTTTTGGTTTCAATCAATTGGTGAGTTAATTCTTTTTTTTTTTTTGATAATTAATCAATTGATGAGTTGACTAATATAGAAGATATTATTTTTGTATAAACTATAAAATCATCTATTATTGCATTATAAATATTTATGTTAATACTTTATGTTAGATATCATTAATTATAAACTATAGATATCGTAGTTTTAGGGTGCGGATGTCTGCAATATATTTTTGTTCCATATTAAAAAAAACATACATTTTTGATAAATTCTATCTCGAATAGAGAAGAAAATAAATACATTAAAATCAGATGAAAGTTTATAATGTTTTGAAAAATGGTAAATATTTATTATTAGATACCAATTCATCGTTTTTCAGGATAAATTTTCTCAACACAGAGCGTCGATTACTTAACTCAAATTCATATGACATCGATCTCTCTTCTGAAGAAATGCATGTTTCTTCCACATCAAGAGTTTCACTATTCAACTATGTAATTGTATAGAGCTAATAGCAATGACCCCCTGTGTTATTTCTAATTGGCGAATACCCCTATGTTATAAATATTAGCACAGAGTCCCCTATATTGTGTTTGACATTGCACACCGCCACCTATTCATCATTTGGCTGTTGACTAAAGTAAAATGACTATATTACCCCTAATATAAAAAAATAAGAAAAGAAAACCCCAAAACTCAAAACCCCTGCTACGTGTTCTCAAAACAAAAAATATCCATATGTTTCTCTCCCAAATTCAATCCCAAATCGAAGAGAAAAAAAAACCCTAAACTCCAAACTCAATTTCGATCGAAATACTCTCCCAAATGCCTTCTATTTAAAGATTCTCGAAGAAAGACGTGAAGACGACTGTGAAAGTTCGATTAAAGAGGTAGGAAGTTTTTTGGGAGTTGTGGGTTGTAGTCCAGACATTTGTATTAAAATAGTAGGGTTTTTTTTTGGGAAAGTTGTAGGTTGGAGTCAAAACTTTATGTAATTTTTTCGAGAATGTGGGTTGTTGTCTATACATTGTCTGGATCTTTTGGGGATTGTGGATTAGTGGTCCATTTTTTGATATTATTATTTTATGTAGGGTATATCTTGTCTATATCTTCAAGGGACATGTGGGGTCTTATTTTTTTGGGGTTTCAATTTTTTAAATTTTTTATTCAAATTTTTGTTTATGATTTTTGTCCAGACATTGTCTGCATTTCTTTTTTTACTGTTGAGATTTTTAGGGTTTTTTTTTTTTTGTTTTTTTTGTTTTTAACTATTGCAGAGTTTTTTAACTTAAAGCTTTATTATTTATGCAGATGAACCTGTTGTGCAAAGTATCTATATGGTTGGATGGGGTTTTCGTATATAATCTTGAATTGTGTTATGTTGGAGGGAGAAATGTAGTTAGTGGCTGGAAATATTTGCTTGGACTACTTGAACAGGCAGTTACAGTATGATATGTACAAAGCATGTGGAGGTAAAAAAATGAATGTCAACTTTTATTTCTTGTACCCTGGGCATGAATGTCAACTTTTACTTCTTGTACCCTGGGCAATCACTTGAACATGGGCTCAAGTACATTATAGATGATGTAAGTATTGCATGGTTGGTGAATGTGTTGGGATGTGAAGCCCAGGATTCAATGAAAATTCGCAAAAGGTTCTAGATTAGCCGGTTTTAATTTTATTAACATGCTTTGATTAGATTCGTTTAAAGTGGAATAAATCTAATCTAGCAACTTACAGTTTTCGCGAGCAGATTCGTTTCTATCTTCGGCGCACGAACGAGGATCCACGTCAAGCCTTCAACCTTCGTAAAAGCTGTTGTCCAGAAATTTCCTGTCCTCTTCCTTCACCGATATCTCTGTGACCGTTGATCCGATCAAGAAACCCTTCGAACGGATTGTATACCTAAGGGTATGGAAGCTACTGTATAAATTTCGAGCCTATCCGGCTAACGGTTGATTTATGGTGAATTTCTTCGCAGGACTGCTCAGAAAATTCGGGAATAAATGTTTGCTCTAAAAACCTATAGTCTTCTATTGTATATCCCGAATTAATAATTCTTCTACAAGGGTGGACTTGTACTTGAAGAAATCTAAACCTATAATCAAGAAATTTATAGAGAAAATAAGAGGAGAAAAAATATTTCTCTTCCAACGTGAAATAGGCGTGTAGCCAAAAAACTTATCTCTCATCAACCTAATATCTATTATATATAGCACAAGGAATTAGAGTCCCACATAGAGAGGATTACATGGAAACAAATCCCACTCCTTCTATAACTCTATATAGTCGAAAATTGCAATCCAATGGGGACTTAATTTTCGGCTATATTAATTCCAAGATATAATATTGGTTGAACTTTATTTTCTCGATTAATTAGAAAATCCAACGGGCTACAATAGGGACTAAAGGAGAAAATATAAATAGGGCAACTAATAATTAATTAAATCCAAACTCTCAAAAGAATTCATTTAATTAATCATTAAATAATTATTTATTTTCCACTACCAAATAATTATTGAACTCCCGTTTATATTCTCAAATATTACATTCGAGCTCCGATCGATCATTACTTAGATTCTCCCCACATTAAGATATCTTATAACCACCAAATAATTTATTCACTGCTAAATAAATTAAATGGTTTCTTTTCATGAGTCTTACCCGCTTAACTTATTTGAGTATGCCGGATACGAAATCCACCTGGCCAGGACTTGGCATAAACAAATCTTATAAGCTACTCAAGGGTTATTATCAATCCCATATTTGAGAGATGTGGATTTCTTTCGATAATTAATTTTCACCTATTAATTCTTAATGTCTCTACCCAACGCACCGGGGGCCATTTGACTCAATATAGGAATATCTCCCATTGTGACATCAAAGTAGAGATCATCAATTAAATAAGTACGTTAATTATCTAGGAATTAAGAGAGTAAGTAATTTATAGTCAACTAGAAATAATACAGTTTCATTTATGAGCAGTGATGAAACAAAATTTTCACTTTGTCCGGTTCAACACATGCCGGGTATGCTAGCACAATAAGTCAAAACAATAACTAAGAAAGTTATTCTCTGTTTACTGTGATCAAGACCAATCACTTAAATATTGTGCTACAATCTTTTACCAATGGTTAGTCCATTTCCATCTAGATTTTGAACGTTTATTTTTATATTCTAAACGAACTTTCGAAATGATCTTTATGTGCGCCGTAGCACACCATCTCGAATACTATTAGAATATTAGACTTATGCTTTTAATTAATTGACAAACAATCGATTAAATGCATTGAATACCCTAGTGCAGATTCTCATAAAATGATAATATACAATTTTATTAATTCAATAATAAAATTATGTAGCTAAAAGCGAGACTTTTAGTTTACTATCCTAACAGAATGTTCATGAAGATGTAGACATAGAGCCAATCATTGCAATTGATAAGGATGGGAATGTAATTAAAAAGAAAGAAGAAATTCTTTTTTTGCGGAATGGTGATGAAGATACAGTTGATGAAGACTCAACAACTGCACAACCTCAGCCTGAAGAACCAATAAATGAACAACCTCAGCATGAGAAACCAACAAATGAAGAATCACAACCTGAAGAACCATCAGCTGAAGAAGTACAGCCTGGAGAACCAACAACTGAAGAAGTACAGCCTGAAGAACCAACTAGTGAAGAAGTACAACCTGAAGAACCAACAAGTGAAGAACTACATCATGAAGAAGCAACAACTGAAGAAGCACAGCCTGAAGAACCAACACTTGAAGAGATTTTTGCTGAATTCCTAACCACTGAAGAACCAACACCTGAAGATTTGTTTGCTGAAGTACCAAGAAATGAACAACAACCAACTGAAGAACCAAGAAATGAAGAGACCAGAAATGATGATGTGGTCTTTTCTGAGGATGATGATTCAGATGATGGTGACTACATTCAGCCCGAAGATTGTTCAGATGATGTTGATGTACATTCTGATGCTCCAAGTGAAGAGTTAGAAGACATTGAGGGGTCTTCAGATGATGACATTTTTTAAAATAGACAGTTCAGTGAGCAAGACTTGATCAAGAAGTTGAAAAGAATGGGCGAGAAATCCAAAAGACCAGCTAGAAGGTTGCAGAAATGTGCAGTGCAGCCATCTACAATCCAATGGTACAGTGAGGCAGAAGATGATGATACTATTGAGAATCTGAATGACTCAACTAAAGCCAAATGCCCTATATTCAGTGAAGGACAGAGTATGCAGAATAAAAATTTAGAAGAGTTGATGAAATTTTCAAATGTTGATGCATTTAGAGAGGCTCTCACATATTGGTTAGTGAGAAATGGGTATGAAATTGAATTTTTGAAAAATGAAAGGAAAAGGGTAACTGCAGAATGCAAAGAAAAAAGACGTAGTTGGAGAATCCATGCATCTCCTGTACAAGGTGGTCCAATATTTCAGGTATTTAAATATTATATTTTTTGTGTACTATTCTATTTTATATTATGGTTTCTTGGTTTGTGTTTTTTTTTGTAATGTTTACGTACTTATCTATTATGTATTATTTTTTAACTTAGTATTTTTAATTTATTTATTGCAGATCAAGAAACTAACTAGAGAACACACTTGTTCAAGGAAAAGAATTAACAAGCATGCTAGTGCAAAATATATTGGAAGGAGAATGAGAGACTCCATTAAAGACAATCCAGATGTTGAAATAAACAAAAATGGAAACTCAGTGATGAGAAAGGTGGTTGTAGAAGCTGGCTATTGGAAGACTTTGAGGGCAAAAAAAAATGCACCCAACAAAATAAGGGGACAAGATGCTCAAGAATACAGTCTCCCGTGGGATTACTGTGAAACTGTTAGAGCTAGAAATCCTGGTGCTAAGTTATTGCTGAGAAAGATTCTTTATTCAGACCCTCCAATCTTTGAGGGGATGTATTTCAGCCTTCCACCAATGAGGTTGGGATTTCTTGCAGGATGAAGGCCACTAATTGGATTAGATGACTGTTTTTTGAAAACACCACATGGAGGGCAGCTCCTTTGTGATGTTGGGAGGGATGGGAATGATAACCTTTTCCCAATTTCTCTAGTTGTGGTTCCAGTTGAGAATAGAGAATCTTGGACATGGTTTTTGGTGAGTTGCTAGAAAAAATTGGAGGTGTTGAAGAAAGGAAATGGACCTTCATTTCTGACAGGCAAAAAGGTCTTCTTGAAGCTATTAAAGATGTTGCCCTTGGTTGTGATCACATGTTTTGTGTGAGGCACATCTACCAGAATTTCAAGCAAAAATGGCCAGCTTTGGAGCTGAAAACAATGTTTTGGAGAGCTGCTTCCACAGGCAACAAGAATGAGTTTGAAGGGCAAAGCGCAAAACGAGTCATAATTTAGGGGGCAAACTGCTTTTTACTCTAAGAAAAATTCCTCCATGACATTGGGACAGATCTTATTTCTCAAGAAGCTGCAAGACAGATGTATTAGTAAACAATCTGTGTGAATCCTTCAATAGCTACATCCTTGAGGTTAGAGAGAAGCCTATCATTAGCATGTTTGAGTGGATCAGAAGTAGATTGACAAGCAAAATTCAAACGAAAAAGGCTGGAATGGAAAAGTATGAAGGGTCTATCTGTCCTAATATCTTGAAAAAGATCAACAAGTCTCAACAACTTGCAAGAAATTGTTTTCCAAGATGGCATGGACAAGAAGAATTTGAAGTGGATATTCATAATGACAGATATGTCGTGGACCTAGCTACCTAAACATGCACATGTGGACTGTTTCAATTAAATGGGTATCCTTGTCATCATGCATGGGCTTGCATTGTAGATAGGAGGTATAGAGTTGAGGACTATGTGGACTCGTGGTATAAAAAAGATACATACTTGAAGGTTTATGCATATATGATACATGCAGTCCCTGGACCAAAAGACTACATCAAGACCTCTTTTGAGCCACTTGCAGCCCCAAAATTGAACAAGAAAGCTGGGAGACCTAAGGGAATGAGAAGAAGAGGTCCAGATGAACTTCACACCACTTCTTACAGAAAGGGTCTCACACATACTTGTAAAAACTGCCTACAACTAGGCCATAATAAGGCATCGTGTAAAAATCCTACAAATTCAAGGTCTAAACTTTACAAGGTACTTGTAGCTTTAATATTTTTTTTTCCTTTTAATTACTTGAATCTTTTTAAAGGATTTTAAGCATTATTATAAGTTATTTGTTGGTTTATTTGTCTGTGATAGGGAAACCCCGCAAATGAGGAAGTTCAAAATTCTCAAGGTGCTCCTCCATCTTCCAGGCAAGGACCATCAACCTCTCTTGCACCAACATCTGTTCAAACAAACTCTTCTACACCAAGGTCAAATGTTTCCAGCTCTGTTGCACCATCTTCTACTCAACCAAGTTCTTCCATTCAAGATCAATCTAGCTTTGTTGCACCTGCTGCTGCACCAGAAAGGGTTAGAAACATTAAAAATTGTTTTATCTTTATGCTCTTTCTGCCCCATTTATTTTTCTAATTCATAGGTTACATTTGTAGGTATATGTGGGAAGAAAAAATGAGGGTTTACTAGGAAGAAGTAAGAAAATCAAAAAACCGCGCAACAAATCAAACACAAAGAGTGCTTGCTGTTGTACCAACGGTTCCTCCAACTTCACAAGCAATTGTTCCTCCAATGGCAACAGCTAATGTTCCTCCAAATGTTCCAAATTCTAGCAACCCTCCTCTGCGCAAAAGAAAGCCTCAAATATCCGAAGTCCTTCATAATATTAGGGAGGCTGCCAAGAAAAAACGCATTTGGAAAGTTTGACTTACATGTGTTGAAAGTTGAACATGTTTCTTGATGACTTTTGCTGGTTTTTTTGGGTTTTTGATGCAATCTTAACAGTCTGTGATGGTTTGACGAAATGTTGGCTATCTATTGAACGTGCAATTGTAACAGCCTGTAATGTCTATTGAACATTATTTTTTTGTTATTGACTGTTTCTGAAAAATATTGTTGTTTGTTTGAGATATTTTGATTTTTTTTATGGATTGGTTGTTGTTATTGTTTATTTTTAGATGTTGCTTGTTGGTTATTGTTGATATATGAATTGGTTGTTGCTGGCAAATACAGGGAAATTGAAAAAACAGTGGAGATACTTGCCAATTTTCATTAACATAGGGGGGTATTTGCTAATTAATATCAAATCATAGGGGGGTGGTTGCTGATATTTGTTTATATGTGGGGTTATTTGCTAATTTGGTAACCAAATACTGGAAAATTAGAAAATTTTACAGAATTTTACCATTGCAAAGTTGAACAAATAATGAACAAATAACATCTCAAACTCTCAATAATACTTGAATAAATAACACTGTCAATATTACATTGATAAACAACAACACTACATTATATCTTGCATTGAATAAAATATATTAAATTAATTAAAGGTTTCAAATCTTCATTAACAACACCAGAACAATGGCGAACAATGCTACGCATATAACCCATGAGATTTTCAACAAGATTCGATCATGCCGATGGTTTTCTTTTTTCTCTTCGACGCTAGCTTTAGAAATAACTTCATCTAGCTCTTCGATATCATCTGGCAAAGCTTGCTCAGCATATTCCCAACCTGGATATTGTACAGTCACCCCAATGAGTTCCCAAGTTGCTCGATACGGGTCACACCAACGGAAAAAATTGGCATCGACGAAACTGACAAGAATAATACAATCTTCCTTTTGATGGTTTTGTTGCAGTTTCGACCACCCTTATACAAGATTTCAAATTGCAGAAATAAAATGGGTTAAATGGATACCTCAGATCCATATATGGCTTGCATTCTTTTCTCGTCGTCGCGTTGCTTGAGGTGTGAGAAGACATTATTTCTCTAATTTGTTGGGAATTGCAGAATATGAACAGAAGAAATTGGGGAAGAAGACGAGCAAAACCCCAATATATGGGGAAGAGGATATAAAACAACGTCGTTCGGTTCTTTGATGAATTTAAGGGTATTTTTGACTTTTAAGGGTATTTTTTGACGCAAAATACACAACCATTCGCATAATTTGCGCGTGCGCTACACGAAAAGCTGTCAGGGGGTTTTGTGACCTTGACTAAATTTCATAGGGGGTATTTGCTAATAATTTTATCACAGGTGATTTTACAGCAATTAGAGATAACGCAGGGGTGGTTTTTGCGAAAAACCCTAATTGTATATGTCCACTAAACATGAGGTCACGTTGAATTCAACTTACTTAATAAAAGGTACATTTTTGCACAAGCAGAATTATTAACCGAAATACCATGTTTATAGATAAGTTTTGAATAGGAAGCGGCTAAAACAAATACCGTTACCTATTTATTTTTTATTTTTTCTGTTGATGGTATTGCTGTGAGAAAAAAAAACCGTATTTGTTTTAGGCCTCCCCTTTTGAATATCCTGAAAGACGTATTCATTTCTGAATAAATTGAAATTTATTGGGCACCTTACAAATAAGTCCATCAATGGGTACTTACTCATAAAGAGGTTCATACAATAAATTCTTTTACAAAAAAGTTTACACATGGTTCAGAGGTTTGTAAAAAACTAAAATAGCCCGTCATACTTTAATATGCTCTAATTTCATCATTTAATTTAATATAACATCAATTTGACCCCAAATTTCACAAATTATTCAATTTTGACCTAAAACATATTTTTGTGGACAATTTTGTCCGTCACCGTCGATCTCCGGCGTTTTTTTTCCTTCCTGATTTTTTCGGCGGTTTTCGGCGTTGACTTTTTCGATATTTTTTTTTCTTCCTGATTTTTCCGTCACCGGTTTCCGGCCTTGAATTTTTCGGGTTTTTTTTTTTTTGAATTTTTTTTCTTTAACATCTTTTTGCCCCCCGTTTAAACAGCAAGATTGTTGTAATTGACAGTAATATTAAATATATTACTGTTAAATGCAGTAAAATTAACTATACTACAGTTTAACACAGTAATATTGCTATATTAATATGTACCACAATAATATTAAGTATTCACACAATAAAAGTCATTATTATTGTGTAATAGAGTAATATTAATATGTTGACCGTGCAACAAAGGTAAACATAATAAAAAGCCAAAATAATTAATATTACTGTGAGTGATAGTAATATTATTATAGCAACAGTAATTTTACCGTTCAACCACAGAGATATTATTGTGCTTACAGTAATATTACAATAATAAACAATAATATTATTATGTTACTCCGTGAATAACTCAAACAAAACAAAAAACCCAAAAAAATAATAATATTGATGTAGTTGACAGTAATATTATTGTGTTTACAGTTATTTTACTGTCGACGACAGTAATATAGTTACGTTGACTTGTCAACAAATCAAACAAAATTAAAAAAAATAACAAAAAATAATAATAATATCGTCGTTGACTCTAATTGTACTGTCAGCGGCAGTACAATTACATAAATGTATTGTCAACGACAGTACAATTACGTTAATGTACTGTCTGGCAGTATAATTACTGTTAATGAGAGCATAATTACGGTCAACGTTTAGTGGCGGGCGTAAAAAAAAGAAGAAGCACTAAAAAAAATCAACGCCGGAGACCGGCTGCGGAAAAAAATCAGACTAGAAAAAAAAAAGAAAAAAAAAAGTCAACGCTGGAATCCGGTGGCGGAAAAAACACACAAAAAAAAAAAGTTGAAGCGTTGACTGCCGGTCAATGCAGGAAACCGGCGGAAAAAAAAAATTTGATTTTTTTTTTTAAAAAAGAAAAGTCAAAATTGAATTTTTGTGGTCAAAACTGATTAAATTGGGGTTACAATTAAAAATTGGATATAAAGGGTTGGAAGTAATTTTCTCATTACATGAATTTTTTCTTTATTTATAATAAATATTAAAGGAATGGGCTTATTCGAGAAACTGAAATGCTATTCGTAGTGCAACTTTTACCGCCATACAGTGCACTTTAGATTCATTTGTAACTTTTCTTAAAAAAATTCAAAATCCTCTCAAACCCTCTCCAACATCCTTCGAATTCTCGCGGATTAAACGAGCAATCCGACAACGATTTAAGGTAAAACTCGAACTCCATTTCGTTAATCCAATGTTTTATAGTAGTATATTAACAAATTTCGTGAAAATCTGTACGTTTTAAGTACTTCGAAACTCTTCGAAACTTTTCGAAAATAATTATGCGTTTCGTGAAAAAAAAATCACGAAATTAAAGGGCTAATTTCGTGATTTTTTCCACGAAATTATGAAAATCTTTTGTTTCTTTTACGTTTCGTGCAAAAATTCACGAAACAAAAGCTTGCATTTCTTGAGAAAACTTAGGAAATGTAAGCTTTTTTTTCGTAAGTACTATGCACAAAAACTGTGTGTTTCTGGAATTTTGCACTAATTTCGTGGAAAAAGATACGAAATTTATGCTTGTATTTCGTGAACAAAATCACGAAATTTAAGTATAAATTTCATATCTTTTTCCACGAAATTAGTGCAAAATTTCAGTTTTTTTTTTAAATGTGTTTTATTTATTATTATTTAGACTGACGTGTTTAGTGTCTTATTTAATAGATGGCTGGCAAAGGCAAGTCAAAGGCAATTATACGAGCAGTTGGTGATGAGGCCGAGCATCAAGAGCGCGAGCGCATAACTATGTCTACATGACGTAGGCGAGAGGCTGAGAGAGCTGGTGAAGCCAGATCATCGGTTGAACATCCCGATGTCGAGCCTTCCCATGCTATGGAGGAGGAGGAGGATGCAGTGGACCTCGTTCACGAGACTGAGGTTGTAGCTCGTGGAGGCCGAGCACGGGGCCGTGAAACTCGTGGTGGTCGAAGTCATAGTCGAGTCAATCCGTATGTGCTAGATGGTCCATTTCCCGGGGGTTCGCGGGATCCGTCGTTGATTTCGAGTTTCAAGTCGCACGTAGCGGCATATATTTGGAGGGGAGAAGTAAGTTAATTACTTGTTTTAATTTTAATATTATAATTTTTGTATCTTATATTAAAATATTTTAATAGTTGATTAACTAATATGTTTTCTAAATAAATGATTGCAGAAAAGTCCGATTGGACGAGTGGAGTCCCGTATTAACTCCCTGAACCATTTCAACTACGAGAAGATAGGAGATGCCCTGGCCCAGTTAGACATAGATGTCACTGCAGACAAGCATTTTCTGCAGATGACTGGTTTGTATCCCCTACCCCGCTGTTTCCTACTGTGCATAGATGATTCACTGTTGTTTGCATTCGTGGAGTGGTGGCAGCCGGAGACGAACAACTTCCATATGTCGTGGGGAGAGATGACTATCACTCTTCACGATGTCCAGATGATACTAGGTGCCAATGTGGAGGGACTGGTGGTCGCGCCTAAGTACGACGAGAACATCGAGCGGACAAACTGCGTGTATTTACTGTCCGAGATTATGAACCTCGATTTTGGGGAGATTGACGAGTCATTGGAGCATGGGGGCCCCACATGGAGGATGATATAGGGACAATTGTTGATGCCCGACACGCCCATGATACACAAAGTTCAGATATATCTGGTATTTATTCTCGGATCGATTTTATTCCCCGACAAGACATGTGATCGGGTGAAGCACTGGTATATGCACGTGCTCGAGGATTCAGTACTTGATCAAGTCGTCACGTATTCGTGGGGTTCGGCCTGTTTTGTCAATCTATACAGGGAGCTGGGTATATGCAGTCGAGCACAATCGAGGAGCTTGGCGGGTTGCACCACCATTCTTCAAGTAAATTTTAATACATTTTTGTACTTATTTTTTTCAATTTTTTTTAAATTAATATATTCTCTATTGCTTATTTCACTAAATATATTTAAATAAAATATTGCAGTGCTGGATATACGAGTATTTCCGGAGATTTCAGCCGCCGGAGGAGAGCGAGCGGTATCGCGAGTTTCAGCCTCGATGCAAGAGGTGGAACGCGCCGCCAAAAGCGGGCACGACCGAGCATATTTGAAATTTACTCGACAATATGACAACGGATGATGTAAGTTCTTTATATTTATGTATTTATATTTTTTTTATAAATATGAATTTTCGATTTATGTATTTATAGTTTTTTTAAATTTGAAATTTTTTGATTTATGTATTTTTTTTTCTGTGTAGGTCGAGTGGCTACAGTATGGTCGGGATATACAAGTGAGTATCCCTTGTACACTGTATCATGGCACGATCCAGTACATGTGGGTCGTAGAGCCGTATATGCCTGATCGTTGCGTTCGACAGTTCGGGTAGGTTCAGGATATTCCGCGCGGCTTGATTCCATTGATGGAGCCATGTTTACGCGGTCAGAAATGAGGTGTAACGTACAAAGTCAACTACCCATTTCAGGGTGCTATGTGGGACATGGTCCAGGCTCATTCCATTCGTGCCAACGTATACAAGACGGCATGACAACGGTGGGAAGTCGACGAGCACTACATGGATTGGTACACCGATCGGACTCATCTGAATATCACCAACCCCGACGTAGGTCTGGCTCAACTGCATCGAGAGAATGTGAGGCCATCAGATCAATCGACTTATTATCAGATAGTACGTGCATTGTACCCGATCACCAGGAGCACTGGACAGGACTAGATGCAGCAGTTTGCCGATTGACGTGCCGACCTTGAAGATATTATGCAGCCCGCTGCCCGATATATTGACATCGACCAGGACGACGACGACAACGATCATGAGGTGCAGCCGCCGAGGAGAGTGAGGCGATAGTTTATAGAATATTTTTGCCAGTTATTTATTTTTTGAACATTTAATGTTAATTTTTTTTTTTATTATTATTAGGAACTATGTAATTTGTTTAATATTTTATTATTGATAGGAATTATTTAATTTAATAATTTGTTTTTACTGTTATTAGAAAATTACGCACAAAAATCCCTAAAAAATAATGTTATCAATATTACAACAATCCCTATAAAACTTTTAAATTTGCAAAAGGTGAAAAATTTGCAGAAAATTCAAATTTTGAAAATTGGAGTACAAATCAGAACTAATATAAAAGTGCCGGCGTTACGAACCCTAATCCATTTCCGCCGCCACGAAGAACAACACAGTTACACCATGAACACCGCCAGAAGCCGTTCGACCCCATTCTAACCCGCCCGTTCCGTCCGGTAAATCGCCGCCACGGTGCACGTGAGCCGCATATATTTCCATTCCGTCTGATAAATCGCTTTTTTTTTTTTTTTTTTTTTTTTTTTTTTTTTTTTTTACATTTTAGAACACCCCAGCCGTTATATGCCGGAACTTTGTCGCAGCGGCCTCCGTTCCGGCCGCTATAGCGGCGTTCCGGTGAACCATGATCTTGATAGAAATTAGAACAATTTTAAATTACTGCACTGTCTTACTGGAAGTGCTTTTTTGAATTTGTACTCACTTGCATATCTGGATATGATTATTTTTGCCTTTATAATTTTGCCCTTATTTCAGTTATGCAATGAAGTGAATATTTTACTTGTTTCAATTTGTGTTGTCTATCTTAATTATATTCTGTGATAATTTGATGACTGTGATGATGTTTTGATGCTGCATGCTAATATTGTTGACTGCCTGAACAAACATTTATATTTCTCTTGCATATTTTTCCAGTCATCTTCTTACAACTTTTGTCTTCCTACAGCATTTTACGAAGCCACTTACGAGCAGCGAGATATCGTCTTCAATGGATTCCCGTACATCACCATCTCCATGGAACTGGATCATCGAGACGCTAGCACGCTCGAAGCAAATAGATTTATCTCTATTGCTAGGTATACATGGCGGTGCCGTATATTTCTAATTAAAAATATTTCTCATTGGCTTTAATTTTTGTTTGTTGAGAGAATTGATAGTTCTGTATTTACGGTCTTAGGTTTGTTTAAAATGGCGCCAAACATAAATGACAATTTTGGTAGAAATGCAAGAGAAATGCTGTCCTTGAGAGTTTTGGAGAGTTTCTCCGATCTAGCGAATCCCGTATCTTCTCCCTCGAGTCAAAAGATTGGATTGGATCCATCCGACTGCTGCGAAGATGTCCTTCGACGGATACTGAGTGAGGTAATTCGCACGTTTAGTTTTGGAATTCACGTTGTAAAGCAAGTCAATATACTAAAGTGGAAGTGCTAATACCGATAACTCGTGTGAAAATATTGGCAGAGATCTTCACCACATCTGAAACCTACTGGATTGGAGATGTCGAAGTGGGATCTTCAGCCGTTTGTAGATCATAAAAGATCGAATTTGCCTAAAACTGCTCTCGAACGGGTGAATGGAGCTTTTTTCACCTCTTACTAAATATATCTTACTAACGCTTTAGCTTGTTCTAATTATCCCTTGCCTTCTGCTTTGAACAGTTGAAAGACACAATTCTCTCAGAAAATATTGGTCGTTTTTCATCTTTGCGCGAGCGAAGTGGTTTGACAGTTCGGCATCCCGTGGATGATAATGATGATGGTCACTTATTGCCCGATGAAAACGTGGTACCAGTTAGCAGGAAGAGAAAAGTCACTAGCAAAACCCGTGTAAAATCTTTCAAGAAGCAAAACTGTGACGTCATTTGTAATGAATTATGTGTACAATTAGCAGACGTTACAGTATCCGTACAGCAAAGTGAAGGAAAAGGGTGCAGTTTGGAAATGGGGTTAACTGGACCAGTTGAGAGTAACGACTCTGCTGCATCGAAGGGGCTTGTTGGTATTGATGAAGTTTTGCCTCGTGAAAAGCAAGTGCTTCACTGTGATACTGAACTAAATAACAAATCTGACGAGGAGCAGGAGCGAAACCGTAGCATTGAGGAACCGAAAGAGTGTGACAAGGAAGTTTTTGATTCCGTAAAACAAACTAATGAAGTCGTGGACGGAAATATTCTTCCAGAAAATATCATGAATGTTCGTGAAGTCGAAGAAAAGAACCCTTCTTGCTTTCCTCAGAGTGCTAACAGCCAAGAAATCTCGGCAACAACTAAAAGACGCAACGAAGAAGAGAGGTGCAGCTTAGGGGAAAAAACTCATGAAGAGGTTACGGGGCAAAAGGGACCTTCGGGAGATTATACTAACAAGTCTACTTCTTCATCGAAGGGTCATATGGTCAATGATGAAGTTTTGCCTCGTGAAAAGCAGGCTCGGGATTCTGGCACTGTAGCTCCAAACGACGAGCTTGATGGGGAAAAGAGGCAAGATCGTGCGGCTGAGGATGCAGAAGGTGGTGGGAAAGATTTACATGGGTCCATAACATCTGACAAGGACATGGATAAACTTGAGCCAAATTCTCGCGAAAATGTCTCAACTGTCGGTGAAGCTGAACAATGCAATGATGTTGTTCCTAGTGATAGTGATGGCTTTGATGACGAGATGACTGATATTGATACACAGAAAAAAACATTTCTGAGTTCTCAGTGTACGCACAGTCAAGATTCTTTGGCTACACCTGACTCGACAGAGCTAAATCACTGTGAGAAATGTAAAAAGGATGGAAAATTACTGTCTTGTAGTTCCTGCTCTGTAATGATTCACGAGAGCTGTTTGGGTTCAGATCAAATCTATGACCCGAAGGGGATATTTTACTGCCCATTTTGTACATCTTCTCGCGCAATCTCGGTGTATGTGGAAGTTAAGAAAAAGGCCTCCTCGGCAAGAAAGGACTTGGGAAATTTTATCTGCTCAATTACTCGACAAGAATCAAATACGCAATCTCGTGGATTAGGTAAGGGAAAGGAAAATCATTTGGAACAGGAAGACGGATTGCCTTCAGAATTACCGTCCAGTCACAGTCCCCCTTTTGGAGGAAAAAATGTAGATTCGACCAATAAAGTAGCCGTCGAGTTGAATGTAGTGACGAGGCAGAACTCCAAATCTCCAAGAGTTGACGGGCATAACCAGATAGTTGCACTTGCAGTTCGCAAGTCTCGTATTTCCTGCCATATTTCAGAGACAGCTGGCAGGAGTGAAAGGCATGGTGGTGGTACCAGATCCGAAAATGGGGGGGTCTTGCGTGCACAGGAGAAAGATCTACCAGGTCGAAGCAGACGCTCACAAATCTCTCTATCTGCTGACATGGACGAAATATCTGAAGAATCAGACGAAAACTCCGGCACTTCTAAGTACTTCATAAGAGTTCGAAAGCCTAACAGGAAATCGTAAGTTCTTCTCTTCCTGTATATGATTAGCATGTAATGTTTGTATCGGGAAATGATACTCATTGCAAGAATTTACGTCTGCATCGGGAAATGCTGAAATAATGTTTGACCACTTTATATGTAATAGATCCACTAAGTTTTGTGTGGATTGTAATTGTAACTTCTGTTAAGTAATCTTCAGTCAATCGAAACAAACGGAATAATATTATCTTGTTTATTTTTTTAAATTAACATAAGTCAAATCGGAAAGTTGACCTTTATCTTAATCTGCAGCTCATATCCAGCAATTCCTCGAGTGAGGCGGAAGAGACTCCCGTGGACAAAAGAAGAGGAGAACGCATTGAAGGTAGAATTATCCGACCTATGTTCTTTTGAGATATAGCGTGCCACTCCACTTGCAGTATACTTCCATCGGAAGTTTTCATTTCTTTGATTTGTGTTTCGCAGTCCTTTCCTCATTAACCAATTTTTTTTAATATATTTTTTTTATATATATATTTTTATAATTTTATTTCAGAAGTGGATGCGGGAACTCTACGACCCTGAGGAGGATAAAAGTCTTCCGTATAAGAAAATATTGGAAGCTGGTGCTGGTGTTTTCGATCCAAGCCGTACGACGACAGACCTTAAAGATAAATGGAGGAATATATGCAAAGCAAATGCAAACTCCGACTGAAGTTCGATTAATATGGAGCTCATAATTTTTGTGACAGGTGAAATCAGCCCACAACAGACCTCAAGGATAAATAGAGGAATATATGCAAGGCAAACGCAAACTCCGACTGAAGTTCAGTTAATATGGAGCTCGTAATTTTTGTGTAATTTTTGTGACAGTTGAAGTCAGCCCTGGAGACGACATAAGTATATATCTTAGTTGTTTTGTATGTAATTATGACTGTATGTAGTTCACTTTCTGTTAGGATTTGCCACATAAGTATATATATCTTAGTTGTTTTGTATGTAATTATATGACTGTATGTAGCTCAGTTTCTGTTAGGTTTTGCTTTTGGCCTTTTGGTGATGCTTATGATATATCTTACGTTTGTTTATGTGTTTGCATATTATTTCTTTTGGCTAGTTTTAGTTGTTACAGGGGAGGACCCTTGACAATATTTAGTGGGGCCAATTTTTTTTTTGGTTAAAAAATTTGGAGATATTTATGTATTCAAAAAAAGCAAAAATAAGTAAATATTTACGAATTTATTTAAGTTTTCAACATAAAATTTTATAGGGTAAATTCCATTTTACCCCCTCGTACTCTGCCCGAGAGTCACTTAACCCCCTTGTACTCTCAATTTTATCGATGTACCCCCCGTACTTGTACAATTTCCCAATATAGCTCTCTCCGTCAATTTTTTTCAATTTTGACTCTGACGCCGTTTGGTCAACTCTGTAAATTACAAAATTGCCACTGCCTATAACACATTGTTTCTTCTCCGTCAATAAAATTGCTGTTGTTTTCTAGGGTTAATTCAATTTGGGGATATCTTATGGAAGAAAACAATTAAAAATTGTGAAGTTGAGAACAAGGAATTTAAAAAAATAAGAAAAAGGCAAGCACCACCACTACTGAAAATTCTTCGAGAGAACACAAAATACCTGATTTCAGTAGCCTCTCGAGTTTAGAAAAGAGAAAGTTTCACACATTCATATATTTTTTTCTTTGTACCGGGTGGAATCGATCAATTTTGGGTCTTGATTTTTGCTGAGTTAGGGCTTCAATTTGGGGATATCTTGTAAAGGGGAGTGGTGGAAGAAGAAGAAATGATAATGTTGACGGAGAAGAAACGATGTGTTATAGGCAGTGGCAATTTTGTAATTTATAGAGTTGACCAAACGGCGTCAGAGTCAAAATTGAAAAAAGTTGACGGAGAGGGCTGTATTGGGAAATTGTACAAGTACAAGGGGTACATCGATAAAATTGAGAGTACGAGGGGGTTAAGTGACTCTCGGGCAGAGTACGAGGGGGTAAAATGGAATTTACCCTATTTTATATTGGAATTCGAAATTAAAAAAATGTACTCAAGGTCTATTTATGAAAAAAATCTTCATTTTTCTATAATTATATTTACCCTCTTAATTTGCAGATTTTTTTATAGTAACACTCTTTTGTAGTGGGTGGATGTAAGAACTTTAGATTGTGGAGAAAAGTAGAAAAATGAATGGGTCAAATCAATGTTACAGAAAAATTGAGGGGGGGACAAATTCGATATACAGAAAATATTTTCAAAAAATATCTAATTTTTTTTTTTTTTTTTTTTTTTTCCTTTTTTCCTTGATCTTTTAGGGGGCCACAGCCCCTTGCCACTCAATGCTTACTTACTCTTCCAACCTTTCAGAATAGTACTGCTGAAACAAATTATAGTTTCTTAATTTATAGCTTGAGCACCTGAATTATTCGGGTTTGATGTCGACAATTGACAAAAAATCGACCTACATATGAAAATAGGGGACGGTTTTTAAGGAAAAATAAACATGAAAATTCACTTCCAAGATAAAAAAGACATTGATACATACTTTAATGGAGTTTTCATTTCATATGAACTACCATTTTGTTGTCTTGTGACTCAATTTTGTAAGTTGTATGAAGTTTTGATTTCTTTGAATATTTTGAGGTTTTTTGAAGGGTATGTAAAGAAGAAGAAGATGATGGCAAAGAAGAAGGGTGTTTGTGAAGAAGGAGAGGGGTGTGATGGTTTTGTATATGTGATATTAAAGAAAGAAAAAAGATATTTTTTATGTTTGTCGGGTATTAATTTTCATTAAAGATATTGATGTTATTACCACCTATTTATTATCTATTTTTCTTATTGAGATAATATTTGTTGGGTGCTAAATACCCACACGCAAGTGCACGTATCGCAAACAAGTAGTAAAGTAGACTCGTGAGAGTCGGATGTCGATCCCACAGGGAATACGCAAATTATTTAATCCTAAGTACCAAATCCTAACAATTATGATTTTTATCCAGCCTACGCAGGATTGTCAAATTAATTAACTAAATAAATTAAACTAATTAAGAAAGCAATTAAATACGAGAAAATATCAATATAAAACGGATCTAGGATTTTATCTTCCCCCTATGCGATAATTCTTCACCCAATTAATCTCCTATCATGCAAGTTACGATTCCCGATTATTAACCCAAGACACGAAATTACTCACAACCAGCTGTCGCTGTATTATAAGTCTATTATTCATAAAAGATTCTCTATATGTCTATGCAAACCTAGTATAAATAAAGCATTAAATAACAAGTCTCGTAAACGGCTACCTAAGGTATTATCTATATGTCTACGATAATACATGCAATTAACACACTCATCCGGTGAAAACTACTCGAAGGCTCTTCTATCCCTGTTCTAATTATTAAAACGATCTGTCAATCAATTCTAACAATAACAAATAGCAACATAAATTAGCTACGTTCATGCGCTAAATAAGATCAAGATAGAAGAAATAATCGAAGAATTAAACTTGCATAAAAGTAGAAAAAGAGGTTCGAATTATCACATAGGGTTCAAATAAAATCCTAGATTAAAAGCTTAGCTACTCGTAATTCTTATGATAAACAAAATAAAAATAAAAGAAATAAGAAAAACTATGCTTGAGCCTTCGTTGATCTTCGTTCTTCGTGTTTTGTGGTGTAAAATTTCGTCCTTATGGTGTAGAGACATGTTGCTTTTATAGGCTTTTCTTGATAAGGAAGTAGTAGAAACCTAATAGGAATCAATTTCCGCCACTTTCCCCCATCAGGACTTGTTCTTCGATTTTCGCCATGTTGGAGTCCGAATTTTGGAATATTCTGTAAATAAGAATTGTAGCCCCTTGAAATTAGCTTTCCAATGCCGCCAAAATCACCTAATTCGGAGTTCATATGAGAGAGATATGCTCGAAATCGTGGACACTGTCAAAGCTGTTGCGAGATTTCTTCTTCAAATTTGATTTGTTTCCTTATTTGCAATTTTTTCCTTTCTTTTTGATCTTTTTTCCTTCATGGACACCTAATTCTCGTTTTCACCTATAAACACAAAATCAATCAATTAAAGCACAAATATAATTAAATCTAAACAAAAGATCCACGTAAAGTAAACGTATTGAGTGTAAAATTTACACTCAACAATATTCTTCGAAAAAAATTGGTATTTGTTTTAGATGTTCCAATGAAAAAAGAGAAAAAACTAATTTGAAATCCTTCTCCAAGAAACACTCTAATTTTTAGGGGTGACAATCGGGACATGTGAACCGAGTTTGGGTTGACTTAAGCTCATAGACTATCAAACCTCGTTACTATAGGCTCGAGCTCGTATACCATCGGGCCACAGTAGTATAGGCTCAAGCTCGGCATATGTATTTTCTCGGGTTGCGGGTTTATATCGGGAATGAGTAAAAAAAATTATAAAAACAAGTGACAAAACAAGATTTACCTCATTGAAGCCAATCTAAAAAACGCCTAAATGACCTTTGCAAGTTATTGGAAAAACTTAAAAACAAGAATGAAAGAAGTTAAAAAAAATTAGTAACTCTTATTATTGGAAACGTTTTATATTCTCAAATCTCGGTGATAAATTTCAACAATCGGATTTCGGTGGATATTTCGCATTTGATTCATATTTTACTTATTGCCACCGCCACCACTTAATTACTTTTAATTTGAAAAATAAAATAATCTTATACGATTGTAACTTATGTTGTCATAGCATTAAAATAATAAATATATTATAGGGTAAATTACAAACACCCCCTAAGGTATGGTCAATTTACAAAAAAACCCTCTTTTTTGGATAGTTACATCCACCCCTCAACTATGTTTTTTCTTACACCTCCACCCTTATGGTGTCAAATTCAACACAACCATCTAGATTTTGTGGAATGTGCTATAGTTTGTACTCGTTTTGTGTAAAAATACAGTTTCTGATGCACCACAATCTGATATATACAAGCTAAAAAACACATATTATGATCATCTTGCTTCAAAATGTAGAGTTCGAATGGGATAAAACGGGTACAAAAAACAAAAGTGATAATATTCCATATAATCTCGAACATTCCACTAAATTTGAGGAGTTGAGGGGGTGGTTGTAATTATCCAAACAAGAGGGTTTTTTTTATAATTTGACCATACCTCAGGGGGTCATTGTAATTTACCCTATATTATATATTTGATTATTAACCTTATCGGTCGGGCCTTATTACTTGAGCCATAATAGGCTCATAAATAAATTGAGTTTAGTAACATAACTCAAACTCGGCCCGACTCACTAAAAAATAGACTCGACTAAAATATAATCGGACCAAACCATCGGGCTTAGGATAAACCCGACTCAATTGCAGGTCCTACTGATTTCTATTAATCTTCTGCGGGTGATTGACACTTTGCGCCCTCAAAATACATGCTATTGACACTTTGCACTATTAAATTATAGAAATATCAGAATGCACCCTCTATTTATTATAACTTGCTATTTTTGCCAAGCAAGTTATATTTGAAGGGTCCATTCTCCTATATTTTGCAATTTAAGGGTTTAAAGTGCCAATTTTGCTTCCAATAAAAATGGCGTAAAGTTCCAAAAGAAAAAAGAAAAGAAAAGAATTAGTTCACCCATTTTCGTACAATGTTATAGCCCTCTCTTTACATGCTTTCCTGTTGATTCCTCTGATCACTGAAGATTGTATGTAGAACACACTTCCTCTCTCTCTCTCTCTCTCTCTCTCTCTCTCTCTCTCTCTTATCTGTTCGTACGCTTTTGTTTTCTTCATCAGCGGCCTGATCCCTTCGTAAGTTTTCTCGGTTAAATTACTCAATTTTTCCTTTATTGGTATTTCAAGAGAAATCTTTTTATTTTGTTTGATTCTTCGAATGATGGCAATTTCTTAGGGTTGTGTACGAACAAAATCGAGTTGTAAAACCCGTTTTAAGATAAATGTTCAGTTTGTGTAACCTGTAAAAAAATAGGATCCGTTTAGATTTGACAGAAACCCGTAGCGGGTTATGTGTTATAGAGTTTTCGAACATTGTTTGTTGGGCATGCTTGTCATACTTATTACAACAAAATGTGTTTCTCTCTATGCTTTATGGTTTGCATTTCCATAAATTGTTGTTTGTGATTTACTATATAGTTTCGAGCTTTTACGCCCCTGCATTATGTTTTGAGTTTTCGAATTTTGTTGCTGTTTGGTTGAATTATGGAATCTAAATAATCACCAAATCAATCGGCATTCAATTCGTTTGAGGTGTTTTAGAAATCATGATGGTACGTTATGAATTTTCCAAATCATTCGTATTTCATCTTCGACAATTATAAATTCTTTCAACGAATCTCCAAAATCCGGAAATGTGGGTTTTAAAGGCAGGGAATCCTCGTTCGTGTTTACTGTATACTACGTGGCATGATTGTTTTGAAAAAGGCTTGGTACTTTTCTAAATCAGGAGATTAATGTGATTCGGTAATGTTACTCAATGTGTTGTAGTTTAAATTCAGCCTGCACATTTCGGCACTAAAGAAAGTTATTTTACAAGGTCGACGACTCAACCAGACGAGTTTTATAGTAAGTAGATATTGGAGCACGAATTGTGAAAGCTAGTTGGAGAATTAATACGTTTTCGTATTATGCTAAGAACCTTTCGTCGTGCTACATTGGTGCCCGGAGATTGTATAAGCTACACTTTTTTTTAAGTAACTTCAGTTACTTGTGTTGTATCAAGCATTTAGGATAACCTAAACCAAAAAGGGTCTGTCTCATCATTTTATATTCGTGCAAAAAAAAAAAAACACGAACATGCATCGTAGCAAGATCTTAGTTGTTCCGTTGATTTTCTTTGTTGGGTGAGGAACTTTAGAATTATACTTTAGTTGTTCCGTTGATTTTCTTGTCTCTTGATTGTGTAGGTGCATTATCTGTACCTTTTTGGTTATTAGTCCTTTGTTATTTTAATTTATGCACCGTTTAAAATGTTCGTATTTTTGTGTCCTCACAGTAAAAGGGAATCTTCAAGAGCCTCAAAAGATCTTTTTATAGGAATTCATATGGTGGTTTCTATGAGGAAATATTGAGTATTGAGCATTGACATAAAAAAATGGACGAGGAATACGAAGCTTTTCTTCCGAGCTGGATAAGTAAAAATCCAGCTTCGGAAATGGCAGAATCCCATCTCTTTATCTTATCCTGCTTCATAGCTGGTATGATAGGTATATCGACTATATTGTACACCGCTTTCCAGTGGAGAAGAAACATAAACTTGAGCTGGACCAAAGCCATCGCTCGTTCCAAAAAAAACCCCAAATCAAGAAACAAAGTCCCACTTTCGCCTCACACTTGGATTTTGGAATCCGTAAATCGACGAAAAAGTTTGAACTGCTGTGTCTGCTTACAGTCCGTTTCTCCCTCGCAGACTCACTTGAATTCAGACAGTTTCATACACAGCTGTACAGTTTGTGGGGCCGCATCTCACTTGAAATGCTCCGCCACGGCCCAAAAAGATTGCAAGTGTGTGTCGATGTTCGGTTATGACAATCTCTTGCATCAGTGGGCTGTACAGTGGACAGCTGTCACAGACCAATCCGACGAATCTTCCTTATGCAGTTACTGTGAGGAGCCATGCAGTGGTCCCTTTCTTGGGGGTTCACCGATTTGGTGTTGCCTGTGGTGTCAGCGTTTAGTGCATGTAGGCTGCCACGTCAGCATGTTTAATGAAACGGGCGATGTTTGCGATTTGGGCCCATATAGAAGGGTTGTTTTGTCACCGTTGTATGTTAAGAAACTGAGCAAGGCTTCTTCGGGTGGTGGGTTTTTGAGCACGATCACTCATGGAGCCAATGAGATCGCTTCGTCGGTGCGTAAAACGATCAGAAGTCAGAGTATGAAGTACAAAAATGGATATGAGATAGGTAATGATAGTTCTAATAAACTAGAAGAATATGTTGAAGTGCAAGATACCATTTCGAAATCCAACGGCACTGAATTAACGGAGGATTTGAATCGAGGGCAAAACGGGGAAACAAAAAAGACGGAAAAAACGGGGAGTTTTAAGAGAAGCTCGTCGATGAATCCAAAGGATGAGTTTCGGGTGATGAGCGTTAGACAGACGTACGAGTTGGTTGATTTGCCGCCAGAGGCGAGGCCGTTGTTGGTGTTTATTAATAAAAAGAGTGGAGCTCAAAGAGGCGATTCTCTCAGGCAAAGACTGAACATTCTTCTAAATCCTGTACAGGTCAGAGTTGTTGCAATAAAGCCTGTATCTGTATTTTGTTACAGCTTGCTCGGTAATGAAATGTATTTAATTAGGATATTTTGAGCTTAATAAATGAGATACGTACGAACAATCGTAAGTGTGTATGTAAAATGCATTTTCTGACCTGAATCGATTTGGATAAACTTGGTACTATTAGCTGCCTTCTAGGGAAAAAAAAATCTAAAACAAAATTCTAGGAGGGAAAAGATTGCATTGTTTCTTCTATCAAGTATTTTCCGTAAAACATGTGCTTGCATATGGAATTTATTAAATTACTAAATCGATTCTACTGTCTGTGCTCTTTTCATGATATTTTGACATAACGTTGAGTCACTCATTGATATAAAAAAAAGAAAAACAAATTCAAGAAAATTGAAAATCCACTTAGTTCAGCAGGATGCAATGCACACTCGTTTCTTTGCCGACTAATTTTCGTTATTATTATAGGTTTGTGAACTAAGCTCGACACAGGGCCCAGAAAGTGGGCTCTATTTGTTCAAAAGGGTGCCCCATTTTCGTGTTCTTGTCTGCGGTGGAGATGGTACAGTTGGCTGGGTTCTTGATGCAATTGACAAGCAGAATTTTATATCTCCACCGCCAGTTGCCATTCTTCCAGCCGGAACGGGAAACGATTTGGCTAGAGTTCTTTCTTGGGGGGCGGGGCTGGGGGCGGTCGAGAGACAAGGGGGCCTTTGCACACTTTTGCATGACATCGAGCATGCTGCTGTTACTATTCTTGATCGGTGGAAATTATCTATTTTAAACCAGCTTGGAAAGCCTCTCCAGCCCCCAAAATTTATGAATAACTATCTTGGTACGCGCTTTTAGATTCTTGTTGTTTTGTTTATTCTTGACGAGCTCGCGTCTTTATTCACAGAATATGCAGAATATTGTTCTGAAAAGTACTTGATGTACTTCGAGCTCACTCTTGCTCAAATTGTTAATGATCCTCAAAAACCAATTTGTAAGGTTTTCTGCGACATGTTTGAACCCGTCTCCATGTTTTATCGGTGACATAAAATCTCGAAGTACATCAACAAGGAACAGTGACTGCGTGAGCATATAATACTCCCAAGTTCTGCTGTGATTTTAATCAAATAATTCTTGAAAATTAGAGTATGGGGCATTGTCAATGTGCATTAACTTGGTTTCCCATCACGAGCAACACTTGACCGTCAATGAAAACCGCTTCTTGAAATTGTGTTGGTTGAAGTCATTTGTCTGTGTTTTGCGTCGCATTTTTCGAATATGTGGTTGACCGATTTATATCGTTACCGTCCAATGAATTGGCTGATTAAAAGAATTTGAAGTTACCAAGAAAAGACCAAACCTTATTGGTTAGTTTGATTGGCTTAGTTGGTGTCTAGTAAAACCATGTTTATGTTGTTATACCTCATATTCAGGGAACATATTTGAAGGAAATAAAGATGAGGCCTTAGTAGTGGATTTGCATGGGCCCGATTATTTCAGTTCGGGCCTTGTGCATGCTGACGATTAGTATACAGTCGAATACGGTTATAAATTATAAAAATTACATCTGTCGTTGTAGGGGTTGGATGCGATGCAAAGATTGCTCTAGAAATCCATAATTTGAGGGAAGAGAACCCGGACAAGTTCTACAACCAGGTAATCAATCTATTCTTTCTTGATTCTTGTTTCGATCTTTTCTGTTATCATTTTCTCGATATTTTGAGTGCAGAAGATAGATTTATAAGTTTGACAAAGATATCGCATTGCTAATCGACGTGTTCTGTTAATGATACAGAAGTAGCTTATAATCATTGTAGTATATTTTCTGCCACATTTACAGTTAAAACATAAATATGACGTCAGCCCCGACAGCTTATGTTGAATATGACGTCTTCTTATTTTTTATTTATTTATACTGTCTATGGATGAAATAACAAGTAGTATTGTTGCAGTTCATAAATAAAGTTCTTTATGCTAGAGAAGGGGCCAAGAGTATAATGGATCGAACATTTGCGGACTTACCTTGGCAAGTTCGTGTCGAGGTTGATGGCGTTGAGATTGAGGTTCCCGAGGTGTGTGCTGCAATGTTTTCTTTTTATGAATTGGATCTATATCTTATTATGTTTTCCGACAGATTTGTTGCGTTCAGCACCCCTGTGTTTACTCTAATTGTTAAAAAAACTCTCCATGATATTAATATAGCAAACACCCCCTTATGATCCATTTTTTTAGCAAATTAACCCCCCTTTAAAACAACACATTTAGGGGGTTGTATGCTAATAGGGTAGTTTTTGCTAATATCAATAACACGTGGAGTTTTTAAGCAATTCGATATGAAACAGGGGTACTGGATGCAATTAACTTAATTTTCAATAGCAACATCTTCGACCTATGTTGCTACAAATGTTTTTGCTTCCGAACTTTGTAATATACTTTTCCATTTTCGATTTTCAATTTTTTTTCTAGCTGATTTTAACAACTATTCAGCGCTACATAAAATAACCACCCGTGCAACAATCTCATGGAAACTATAATTATTTTTTTAATTTTTTTTGGTATTAAATTAGGATGCAGAGGGTGTCCTTGTAGCAAATATTGGAAGTTATATGGGTGGTGTGGACTTGTGGCATAATGAAGACGATAGCTACGATAATTTTGATCCTCAATCCATGCACGACAAAGTTCTCGAAGTTGTTAGCATTTCCGGTATGTGGCATCTCGGAAAGCTGCAGGTAAGCTAATTATTTGATAGCGATTTCAAATATGGATGAAACATCAAATACTTTTTGTCTCCTAAAGAAGTTTAAATGAAAATAGGTACGATTTAATCAAAAAGCGGGTTTTAAATGTGTGTGACAGGTAGGACTATCGCGGGCCCGCAGGCTTGCACAGGGACAGTCAATTAAGATTCAGCTTTTTGCTGGTTTTCCAGTTCAAGTAGATGGTGAACCTTGGTTTCAACAACCTTGTACATTAACCATTACCCATCATGGTCAGGTAAAGTAAATGTCCGAATTGCCCCTTACCATTTATTTATGTACTCGGATTGCTATTCGTGGATAAAAATCTTAAATGTTTGGATATGCCTCTAATTCTATTCCAGTTCTTCATCCGTATCATTTAATTTCTCGTTTTCATTGCTTTCATATAATAGTAACATATGATTTATATACGGATCAGGCATTTATGTTAAAAAGAGCGGCAGAGGAATCTCTTAGTCATGCTGCTGCAGCAATTGCAGATGTTCTTGAAAACGCCGAAACGAATCATGTTATCAATGCTTCGCAGAAAAAGGCACTTCTTCAAGAAATGGCACTCAGGCTGTCCTAGAAATTAACTGTATTTTCATGTTTTATTATCCGTTTCATGTGTACAATGTTGTTTACGTTGTGGTCCAGATGGGACTGCTGATCTTGTAAATACCTAGTTATCGGTGATTTTGTTGTTCGTGTTTAACTAAGCTCGCATTGAACGGGGCACATTTTTAGATGGGAACAGACCGTATCGGGTTTTAGTAAATTTTGATATTTGACAAGGCTTTCTGATGATTTGACTATACCTCTGGGGGTTTTCGTAATTTTTTTTTATACTTTATTGGGTAAATTACAACCAACCCCCTGAGGTTTGCTATAATAATTTCAAGGTCTATGTGGTATCGATAACTACAACCACCCCTAAAACTAACGGAGCATGAGAAACCTAAAGTTAGGGGTGCTTGCAATTACTAAAACCACAAACCATCCCCTAAAACTGACAGAACGTTAAAAACTCTGAGGGTCCATTTGGATTGAGGGATTTGGAGGGGGATTTGATTTGGGGAAGGGATTCGAAATGACTCCAATTTTAGAGTCATTTCAAATCCACCACTACTGCTTCAAAATCAGCTAAAAAAGAGGGGTGGCGATTTGAAATCCATCTCCAAATCCCTCAATCCAAACAAGTCCAAGAAATTTGTTATTATGGATTTGAATCCCTTCATCCAAATGCACCCTGAAGTCATTGTGTGGTTGTAATTACGAACACCACAAGGACTTTAAGGTTATTTTATCATACCTCAATGGGTTAATGTAATATTTTGAATATTTTTGACCATTTTTATAGTCGTTGGTGTCGGGTAATTGTAATGAATGAACAAAACAAATCAGCAAGAAAAAGTTAGAATTTTTAATTATTTAAAATAGTCAAAATGTATGTTATAATTACGCCCGAGGCATATATGAATATGATATTTAAAGTCATCATAGTATTGGTAAGAACAACCACCTCCCGATATTAGGGTTTCTAACGTTCCATTAATTTTATGGGTATTTATAATTATCAACACCACATAGACCTTAAATTCATTATTACATACCTGGGGTTGATTACAATTTACGTTCTTTTTTTTTTTTTTTTTTTTTTTTTTCTAATTTGAACTTAAGGGCATTATAGCCCTTACGCATTTTGTTTTTAAATTTTCTCAACCATTAGTCAGAAGTAGGGATGGCAATGGGTACGGATTTGTCGGGTCTTAGACCCGGAACCGACCCGTTTGGGGCGGGTATGGGTAAGTTAAATGGTTGTGGGTCGGGTAATGGGTTTAGGTTTCTAGAACCGGATGGTTCTGGGTCAGGTTACGGGTCTTATTGGACCCGACCCAGAACCGACCCGTATAAATATGTTATTTTTTATAATTAATCTATATATAAAAATTAATTTATGATTTCATTTATCAAACTTTCAATTTTCATCGTGTCTATTCTCAATTACCCATTTTCACCATTTCATTTTTTTTAATCTCATTTCTCGTAAGTAAAATCTATCACTTGTCGACCACCGCTAGCTGTCTTGCCTTTTGAACTTTACTTATCGTGAAAGTTAAATATAATTAATTATATAATTTTATTTTTCACTTTATATCACTTGTAGAAGTATTTTAAAATATTGTATTTTATTTTTTAGTTTATTTTATTAAAATATAGAAGCAAAATATTATGAAAGTTCAAAAATAATAATTTTTTTTTTTACGTTAACGGGTCTAGCGGGTCTGGCGGGTCAGAACCGTTTAAGCGGGTTCTGGGTATAAGCTGAACCGGGTTGGGGTGGGTCTGGGTATAAGCTGAACCGGGTTGAGGCGGGTCTGAATTTTATATATTTTTCACGGGTCGGGTCTCGGGTTTAGGCAAACTCGGCCCAGAACCGACCCGTTGCCATCCCTAGTCAGAGGTGTTTTTGATAATTATAGATACTTGCGTGTTTTTTCTTTATTTTTTTTTTGTTTTTTTTTAATAACTAGCAATTTTCTCCGTGGGATGCAAGGGGTAGTATTGCAAAAATGAAGAAAATTTAAATATATGATAATTGATTAGATTGAAAAAAATTATGCAATAATAAACAAATTCCATTCGCTGTGTGTAAAAAAAAAAGGATTGTTACAAAGAAATTGCAAAACAAAAAAATAAAAATAAAATAACTATCTAGAGTGGATTAAGATTTTGCTAATCGATTTGCAAATCTGATTTGTTATGAAAGTAAAAAAAAGACCGGTAAATAGAAGATGAAAAAAATAATAATAATTAATTAAAAAAAATTACAAATATACTATTAGGGTTTATTAAGTTGCCCTAGCGTTTCTTACTTTTATATATAAGATTAAACCTTAACTCATGGGGTTTTTTGGTAATTTCCTCTACATATTAATGTTGTACAAACTTAGGGATGCCAATGGGTAAGGGTTTGCCGGGTCTTAGACCCGGAACCGACCCGTTTGAGGCGAGTGTGGGTAAGTTAAATGGTTCTGGGTCGGGTAACGAGTTTAAGTTTTTAGAACCGGATAGTTCTGGGTCAGGTTACGGGTCTTATTGGAACCGACCTAGAACCGACCCGTATAAATATATTCTATTTAATAGTTAATCTATATATACAAATAATTTAGGATTTCATTTATGAAACTTCTAATTTTCGTCTTGTCTATTCTTATTTCCCAACTTTTTACGGTTTCATTTTTTGAATCTAGTTTCTCGTAAGTAATATCTATCAAACTTGTCGACCACCGCTAGCCGTCTTGCATTTTGAACTTTATTTATCGTTGAAGTTAAATATAATTAATTATATAATTTTATTATTCACTTTATACAAGCAAAATATTATGAAAGTTAAAAAATATTAATTTTTTTTTATGTTAACGAGTCAGGCGGGTCAGAACCGTTTAATTCGGGAATGGGTTGGGGTGGGCCCGGATCTAAGCTAAAACGAATTAGGGCGGGTCTGAGTTTTATATATTTTTCGTGAGTCGGGTCTCGGGTTTAGGTAAACCCGCCCCAGAACCGAGCCGTTGCCATCCCTATACAAACTACAAACATTACAAACTGTTTTTTTCCGGAACATAATATCGGTTTCTCCACTTCAAAACCATATGTAAAATTTTACAAGTGAAACTTAAAAAAACACATGAAACTCCGAATTAAATAATCACACAATATTGAAAGTAAAAATATCTTGAAATAGTAATTACAATCATTGTCCCAAATATCAAAAAACAATATCTCAAAGTTTTGCACACATTATTGCAACATCCAATTGATAAATTGAATGATGAATAGCAATCATCACACATATATATATTATCACAAACTTAAAATAAATAAAATAAAATAAAAACAATTATTTTTTCAGCATATTGCATCAAAGCTTGAGCTGCCTGAAGATCACATTCCTGTATTTCTTGGAGAATTCTTCAATTCTTCATTTGCTCAAGTTCAGAGGCAAGCCTTCTTTTGCTCTGCATCCATACTTAGAAAATAAAATTCAAAAGGCAACTAAAAAAACAAAAACAAAAGGTCACTTATTTTAATTTATTTATATTTTTTATTCTAGTTAGATATTATTTAAATCAGAGCTTCTATGATAGATATCTAATAATTATAAAATAAACATATATTACAACAAAAATATATCACTTCTATAGAGTCACGAAGCCAGAAATTTGTTATAGAATCTGGATGAGCTTAAAATTTTTAGTGGTTCATAGCAGAGCTCCCGAATTTTTGTTAGGATTATTTGCCTAAAGTAGTACAAAACAAGAATATAAATAGACCTTAATTTAAGTCCTTAAAGTTGCACTTCAAACTATAATTATGTTAATTCCTTACAAATTACAATTGGCTCTTTCGAGTTTTCATTCTTTGAAAACTATTCATAATCGTATCGTTGTTGATTCATGAAGGGACGTGTCTTTAAGTAAAGATAAGCAAAGCGTCACTCAGCATTCATAATTAATCCGATTGTGCAATCTACTAGATCTTTATGATATTTAAACATATACACCCAAGAACGATGAATTTTATTTCTAAACATCAAACATTAAGCACATATTGATTATCAACAAAAATCATGGGGCCTTAATCGGATGGTCTATTTATCAAAATTCACAATGTTCACCTCAAACAACTGCAAGTCAAACAGCTACAATGTCAACAATGAAGATGTTGATGAGAGAGAGAGAGAGAGAGAGAGAGAGAGAGAGAGAGAGAGAGAGAGAGAGAGAGAGAGAGAGAGAGAGAGAGATTACCTGAAACATTTATGGAGTAGTTTTTTTGGGTTGTCATGCGTGGATGCTCCCATCATCCCATGAAGAACGAACAATCAGGACTAGTGAACTTTCCTCACCATGTTTGTCGTCCCAATCCGTTTTCAGGTTTTTTGCACATCTCACAACCATAGGATCGCAATCAACTATTTCAATCTCATTTAGTAATGTGTTGAATGTCGTCACGGGGATCGCTTTTAACTTGTAGCAATGTTCGATGTCAACCAACATAAGCATAGGCATGCACGAATAACTTTGAAACGTCCAATGCTCGAGATCATTGTCTTCAATACTAAGAGACATAAGACTTTGGAATTCGTTGTCATGAACTTCCCATGTTGGGCCTCTAAAGGCAAAGCATTCCAACTTCAAATATTTAAGATTTGGCAATACCGAAATCTTGCTCATTTCTTCCCACTTATAGCCTAAGCCTTTCAAAGTTAACTTTGTAAGACTTGATGGAAGTTCTGAAAGGGGAGCGAGTGGGGTGACAACCTCGGTAAAAAATACAGGATTCGCAATGGCACAATTAAGTATTTTCAGTCGAGGGAGATGGGAAATATGATCAAAGATGCTCAAGGGTTCATAATTAGCATTAGGAGCCAATTCAATTCGGATCATCAAAACCTCTAGGTTAGGGATTTTTTCAAAAACATCTTTCGTACAACTTTGATGGCTCACACCAAAAAGTTGTACGAGGTTTGGTAAGAGAGACCCTTCACAAGGACATGGCAGGTCTCTTCCCAAGATTTGGAGGGACTTCAGTTCTTTCATTTTCCATATCTCAATTGGCAGATACGATAAAGTCTCATCATATTTTTTGATACTAAGATGTCGATGAACAATCAAGTACTCAAGGTTCGAGAGTTTAGATATGGAAGGAGGGATGCTTCGATCATAAACGATGTAAAGGTATCTTAGTTGAAATAGTTTCGCCACTTCCATTGGGAATTCGATGAATACCATTCGAGCTTCCAATACCTTAAGCAACCTTAAATGTTTCAAATCCATTGGTACTGGATACTGATGATTCGGACCGGTACAAAGGAGAGAGCGTACCGTTGAAACTTCTGCAATTGAGTCACGCACATCTTTGATGGCAAATAAAATACTATTGCGAATGGACAATCGACGCTGGTTTTTGATATCCTCTGATAAACCATCGACAAGACCATTTAAGGCATAGAAAAACTTGGTCTCGACAGCTTCTTTGTTACACAAGTACCAAAATGATGAGTGGAGACGATAACCACATATTTTTTCATCATACATGACAACATTTTGGGAGTAAAGCTCAAAAAAATAATAGTTAGCCCCATCCGTGAAAGTCGTGACCATGCCTGGGTAGGTAGCTGTTTCCGAGTCACGAAACCCTTCAACACTCCACAAGTTGATCATGTCATACAATGATATCATATGATTTTGTGGGAAAGCTCCAAGGTAGAGGAAGCATGCTTTTAAATGTTGATCTAAGTAATCGTAGCTCGGGTATAGTATTGTTGATATTTGAGCATATGCATCCTTGTAAACTGAATCTTGTTTATCGTCGGCTACCTTGTTCCAGTACTCTGTTGTCTTCTCTGCTTTGGATAAAATGTCGGCAACTGTGATGATTGTAAGGGGAAGACCTTCACAGTTCTCGGCAATTTTCTTTCCAGCTTTCTCAAGTCCAAACGAGCACGATTCTTCACCAAACACCTTTTGACGAAGAAGATCCCAACTTTCTTTCTTATTTAAGAATGGTACGTTATATTTCTTCCATTCAGCTATTTGTTGGAGCCTGGTCGTCAGCAATACTCGACTTCCATTATTGTCTTCTGGAAATAACTCTCTCAATTCAGAAATGAGCTCTCTGTTCCATACATCATCCAACACGATCAAGTATCTCAATTTCTTTAAACTTTGGTACACCATGCTTTTCAACTCAGCTAATAATACTAATTCATCTCCATTGAGAATATTTGTTTCTTCAATGCCAGGATTCAATTGTTTTAGAATATCAACCAAGATGTCGACTAATCGATACTTTGGGCCAATTTTGACAAACACACGTCTGCTAAAATGACTCGCAATTGATGGTTCGTGAAAGAGTTTCTTGGCAAGAGTGGTCTTACCAATACCTGCCATTCCACAGAGTATGAAAATCATTCCTTTGGACTGTGAGGAATTTTCTCCAAGCTGATCTTTGATTTTGATAAATAGATCAGATAACCCAACCATGTTGGACTCGTTTCCATCAAAAGCAATTCTTGAACGGACCGCACAAGCATCTTCGTTTTCTTCCGGCGAAGGGTTGCATAACTCATGAGCGTAGGCCTTGTTCATCTTGTTCGCCGTCTCAATAAATGAATCGATATCTTGCTTTATTTCCTGCACGTCTACTGAGAACAACGCTAATGGTGGATGATTAGTGGTCTCTTCTTGTTTTTCTTCGGATTGTGAATGGAACTGATCTGCGACATGGAATTCTATTACATCTTCAAATTTGTGGACCGCAACTATGATTTCCACCTCCAAAGTTTTGACCATCTTCACGTTAACGGTGCTCCTCCTCGCGTTGAATTGTCTGAGAGCTTCTCTTAAGGAACGGACCTCCTTGTAGAGAAGTTCTATGATTTGTGGGGATGAATTTTGAGCAATTGAAATATGTGAAGAATTTAAAAGGCGATCAATTGTTTGCTCAAGAGAAGACACAGCAGCATAAGCCATCTCTCTCTCTCTCTAATATGTCATATAAATTTCATCTCACTGGATGTTTGGGACAATTATTCTTCGTAGGCATTTGTTTGTGAAGTTATTCCTATCGCCAAAGATGTGTGGCAAAGTAGTCAACCAAATAACATTTTATTTAATGTGCATGCAAGTATGGGAAATTTCAAATTTGGGGTCTCTTTCCTTGACACGAGATCACTAATTGATTTAGTATTTTAGAACTCCAACGCCGTTACTTATGTTACATGCGATGAAGGTTACACCGGGTGAATTTTTACCGTTGATCTACACACACCAATATGAATGTATGTGTGTTTGTGTGCTTATGAATGGTAAAGATCTACCCGGTGTAGCATAGTATAAGCCGAACTCCAAGTTATTTTAAATACATATTCCCATTTTTATGTAATCTTTTGATTTGATTACTCAACTAGGGAAATTGGAGAGTTAGATGTTATACCTGATTATTTACACTAAGGGAATTTCAATCGTATATCTAATTAAATAATCACCCACTAAGCACATATACACATGAGTGTATGCAATTATTAGTAGATCTATAGTTGAAATCCAACCGATGTAAATAAACTAGGTGTAACATCTCATTGAGAAGGGATTATACATAAATATATTATTTAAATTTGGCTATCGCATTTATACTATTTTAAATATTTTTCTATATAGACTGAATTGTGATGATATTTATACATGGTTTGCCGTGAATAAATTCATGACAAATCCACTTAATTAAGGTAATATTCAATTTTTTTTTTCTTTTTGTTTTGAAAATAAATCCAACCACAAAACTTATTACGATTAATGAAAACTCTATCATATATAAAAAATGGGGTTATTATGCATGTCTTTGACCAATCACATTTATTATTTTAGGTTGAGGTGTTATATTTTTTTCATTAATAAGTCCATCACTTTAATATGTATTATGAGTAACTTGATGTTTATAACAAAATTACCCTCAAACCTTTCAAACCAGTACCCCTAATTTAATTCTAATTTCGACAATTTTTTGTTTTTAATTTTGACCTTTTCTTTTCAATTTTTTTTTTCCATTTTTTTATTACTATCTACGTAATAACATTACTATCTACTATTGTAATCATACTTTAGTTGACAGTAAAATTACTGTAAACACAATAATATTACTATCACTCACATCAAAATTTTTATTTTTTGCTTTTTGATTTTTTTTATTTGTTGGCCGGTCAACGTAATAATAATACTGCCTACTATTGTAATATTATTGTAGTTGACAATCATATTACTATCAACCTCACTAATATTACTGTATTTGACGATCATATTGCTACCAACCTCACTAATATTACTGTTTTTCACAATAATATTACTGTTGTACAAAATTACTATCAACCACAATTTTTCCCCCCTATTATTTTGCTTGTCTTTGTTGACCGATCAACATAATATTATTATCGTATTACACAATAATTTATTATGTGACATAGTGATTTATTGTATTAACATTATTGTGCTATATAGTAATATAATATTGCAATATTACTATGTTAAATAGTAATATAGTTAATATTATTATCAACCACAATACTATTACTGTTTTTACTCAAAAAAATTTAAAACTAAAAAGATTAAAAAAAAAAAAGGGTCAACGCCGCCGGAGATCGATATCGACCGTCGGTTAGTGACGACGGCATAAAAGGGAGTGCATTATTTAAAAAAAATATAAATTTAGCTAAAACATTCAATTTATGGTTGTGACATATATCGATTATAGTTTAGTTTAAAGGGGGTCTCGCATATTACCCCTAATAACAAATGTTACATTTCATTAAAAAAAATGTTTGAATTTTTGGTTGAGGTGAGAGTAATAACGTAATTATCTGTGAAATCATACACTATGATAGACATCTTCAACTTGACAAAGTTGTGTCCAAAATATGTTGTTGAATAAGTAGTTGGTAAAAGAGAAGCAGGTATCATCACTATAATTTTCAAACAAATTAAACCAATTGAACTATAATTGGTGATTAGGTAAAATGTCAAAAGAAAAAGTCGTCATTACATTAAAGAAAGACCAGCAGTCTGTCCACGCTGCTTTTTTTTTTTTTTTTTTTTTTTTTTTTAATTATTATATTTATTATTATACTGTGACAAGTTTGAATTTTGAAAGTATTTTGCTTTCAGGGATGGAAAATTCATCCTGTACTATCTTTTTTTTTAATACAAAAATAAATATAGTCCTGGTGTTGTGATTTGGCTAGTGTTTCCCCTCCAATTAATTTTAGTCTTATTCCATATCTCGTGTATTTAAGAAAAAAACAAATGAGGTCTTCTTTCTACTCTAGGGATATATTATTATTATTATTATTATTATTATTAATTACAATATATTTGTATTAAATATATATTATATATTATATTATTTTATATTTATACATTATTTTAGTATGATTATTATTTTTTTTTACTTTTAAAAAGCACGAACTTTTTTTATTTCTTAACCTTTTTGTTATACACGTTTTCACCATTTGTATTAGTAGCAAGTTGGGCTTGTCTAGGGTACGAGAGAGTTACATTGTACTTCTCGGACCGTAGTTTACCAATAATATTATGCTACATAGGATAAGTACGAACCCTACGAAAAAAGTACGTGACCGCATCATAAGTAAAATTACATAAAAATCCGTACAATTAAAACTTAATTAATAACTGATAATCAACTAAGATTTGATTATAGAGCAATAATAATTACAATAAAATAATAAATCAGTTCTTTATGCCGTAGCATTGAAAGACGGGTTAATATGCTATGAGTCCCTCAAACGAAACCTAATTTGAACTAAATGACAAGTTCAAATTCATTTTTTTAAATAAATCCTTAGTTTGAAATAATATATGAGCCACATTCTTAATTTTTTTTTATCCCTATCTTACCCTTATACCCTAAATTATATAACCTACACATTCATGTTTCTCCACTTCATATTTATTTCGGTTCTTTTGGTATTCTTTTACATTCTCTCTCTTTCTCTCCATCGAGTCACACGCTCCGTATCTCTTTTTCACTTTTTTTTTTTCTTTTTCTCTCTCACCCCTCTCTATCTCTATATCTCTCTATTGGTAAATTATTCAGTAGTAGCCGAGGCAGGGCCACAGGGGTTGTGGTGGACGGCGGCGGTGGGGGCTGTGGTGGTTGAGCGGCGACGACGGGCTGTTGTGGTTAAGGCGGCGGCGACGGGCTGTGGTGGTTATGGCGGCAGCAAGACGTTGTGGTGGTCGAAACGGCAACGAGGGACTGTGGAGGTTGAGTCGGCGGCATGGGCTGTGGTGGTCGGCGACGGGGGCTGTGGTGGGCGGCGGCGGGATGTGGTTATGGTGGTCGGCGGCGGGGATATTTTCTTTACAAATTGCATTTGATTTTCTTGATTTCAAGAGATTTTGCTCGATTTGGATTCAAAATCGTAAATCTAGGGTTTTCCAAATTTGGTACAATTGCGGCGGCTGCGAATGTTGGCTGCTAGGGTTTGACGGCAGCTAGGGTTGACGAGATTGGGTGTTGTTGGCTGCTAGGGTTTGGTAGTACACCGTAGTAGACCATAGTGCACCGTAGTATACCATAGTCTACTAAAGTATTGACACAAATAAATTATAAAAAAAATTAAAATATATGAATATTGAATTAACAAAAACGAAAAACAATTTTGTTTTGTAATTTTTAATATTACGTAGGATATGTTTTTTTTTTTTAATAATAGTGTCAAAACTATAGTGCACCATAGGATACTATAGTGCACTATAGTATTTTTAAAATTTGCTTAATTATTTAACTTTTTTTTTCGTAATACCCAATAAAATATAAAAAATAAGGAAAAAAAATGTTTATAATAATATATAAAATGCTAGAGTGAAAATAAAAAAAAAAAATGAGTAGAAGGGCATTTTTGGAATGAATTTTATAAAGGATGTGAAGCAAATGTTTAGTTGAGCTTGTCATTTAGTTCTAATTAGTTTTGTCACTAGGGACCTATATCTTTTTTTTTTTTTTTTTTGAACAAAACGGAAACCATTTTATTAGGCAAATGATGCCAAGTGAGTTGGAAGATGATCATCTTCATAATAATCATCTACATTAAGATGGGCTACTGTATGCGCAATGCAATTCCCATTTCGTTTGACAAAAGAAAATATACAAGAATCAAATTAATTAACAAAGAGACGGCATTCTTCAATCAAAGCGCCAAAGGATGTCAAATTGCTCTCTGAACTTTTAAGTGCATTAATAACTTGCAAACAATCCCCTTCAATGATAATTTTTTCCATTCTTTTTCTCGAGCTATCATAAGAGCATGTAGCGCCGCTCTTGCTTCGCCATCGACAGGTCTCGGTCGGCCTAGAAATTTCCGTACGTTCCACCACACACACTCCCCAATTGAGTTTCGAGCCACCGCCGCCACTTTATAAAACTTTTTTCCGGTCGGAAACGCCACATCAAAATTCACTTTAATTGTACCCTCGTTAGGAGGGCACCAAATTGCATTTCCCTCTCTTGCTGAGTTTTGCAAAATTGTGGGCCTGTCTATGTGATATTCTGTCAAATAATTCTTCCCCCAAGAGACCAGGTCCGAAACCACTGTGTTAGGCGACTCATGCACTTCTTGGTTTCTAATATGCCATGCTTTCCAGCTGATGACAATTGCAAGGTTCAGATCTTCCTTGTTCAATGTCAGACGAAGGTGTTCAAACCACAACCAAAAGTTATTGTAATTTCCTACCTTATCGAGTTTATTGAAAGGAGGTGTTGCCCATACTTTATTCATCCCACCGCAGTGACCGATAACATGCATAGTTGATTCTCGGGGTGAACCACATCGTCGACACGACGGGCTAGTGCTTATTTTTCTCCGGAAAAGCTCTTCATTCGTTGGTAGAATACTATTACAAGCCCTCCATAAAAAGATTCTGATTTTGGGTGGAAGCTTTAGATTCCAAATAACGTTCCATGGTTTCGTTGTGGAACCACTCCCAATGCCATGCACCCTACCATTTGTGCGTAGCAATGCAACACGTATGTTGTGGTAGCAGGTTTGCACACTAAACTTCCCATTCCGAGAATAATGCCATACCATACGATCTTCTGCTCCGAGATTTCCAATGGGAACTTCCGAAATTCTCTCTTTGTCGATCGGCCAAAACACATCATTAATAAGCTGTTCGTTCCAATTTTTTGTGGAATTGTCAATCAAATCTGCTACTTGGTCTGGGAAGGACGAATGCAACGGTCTCTTCGTTATAACCTTAAAAGCTCCATCCGTTTGAAGCCACGAATCCCCCCAAATCGCTGTATTTTTGCCATTCCCTATTCTCTTCCTTAAACCAATTTCCAGAAAAGGTTTTGCGTAAACAATGTTCCTCAAAGTGGTCGAGGGCCGCACCCCATTTGAAGCTCTAAGAAAACCTGTTCTCGGGAAATACCGTGCTTTCAGTAGTCTCGATAACAAGGAGTCGGGGTTTGTAAGAATTCTCCACCCCTGTTTTGCGAGTAAAGCTATGTTAAAACTCTTCAGGTCTCTGAACCCCATACCTCCTAAACTTTTTGGCTCACACAGACGATTCCACGACATCCAGCTCATTTTCTTGTTAACTCCATCACCCCACCAGAAGCGTCTAATCGCTGCCTCTATATCACGGATCAAGGAATAGGGAAGAACGAAACAACTCATTATGTAAGACGGAATGGATTGCAAAACTTCTTTAATTAAAACCTCTTTTCCAGCCTTTGAGAGTTGTTTCTCGCCCCAACCTTTAATCCGAGCCCATATTCTGTCTCGAATGAAGCTGAAAATCTCCTTACGTGTACGTCCAAGACTTATTGGCATTCCCAAATACTTGTCAAAATTATCAACTATGCGAAACCAAGTTTCAGGCCAATCGATTGTTTCAGCCCCATTGGTACGCCTGGGCTAAAGGTCATCGACATAGCTGCCCCGATACTCTTGCAAATTTCTCCAAGACCTGTTTGAGTGTTGTCGCCTCTTTCTCAGTCGCTCTGCAAAAGATTAATGTATCGTCCGTATTGGGTGCTAAATACCAACACGCAAGTGCACGTATCGCAAACAAGTAATAAAGTGGACTCGTGAGAGTCGGATGTCGATCCCACAGGGAATACGCAAATTACCTAACCCTAAGTACCAAATTCTAACAATTATGATTTTTATCCAGCCTACGCAAGTTTGTCAAATTAAATCAATTAAACAACTAAACTAATAAAGAAAGCAAATAACACAGGAAAATATCAATTAAAACGGACCTAGGATTTTATCTTCCCCCTATGCAAGAATTGCTCACCCAAAACCCCTCAATTATGAAATATATGATTCATGATTATTAACCCGAGACACTAATTTACTCATAACCCGCTGTCGCGTGTATTATGAGTCTATTATTCATAAACGATTCACTATATGTCTATGCAAACCAATTATGAATAAAGCATTAACTAACAAGTCTCGTAAATGGTTACCTAAGGTGATATCTGTATGTCTACGACACCACATGCAATTGACACACTCATCCGGTGAAAACTACTCGAAGGTTCTTCTACTTACCGTCTAATTATCAAAATAGCTCTGTCGAGTCAATTCCAATAATCACAGATAAAGCACATAAATTGATCAAGTTCATGCACTAACAATCATAACAAGTATAAGAAATAATCATAAAATCATAATTGCATAATCTCAAGAAAACGGGTTCACAATCCCCGCATAGGGTTCCAACAAAATCCTAGATTAAAAACTTAGCTACTCATAACGAAAAACATAATAAAAGTAATAAAAGTCATAGATTAAGAAAAAGATAGGTGAAAGAAGAATTATGATGAAGAGTTGTCAATTCTCCGTCTTCGATTCTTCGTTCTCTCGCTCCTCTCGCTCCAAGGTTGTGTCCAAAAGCCCCCTTTGATTCGTGCTTGGTTTGGGCTTAAATAGATGTCCCAACTTGGTAGATGATTCTAGGTTTCCTTGTGTGTTTAAAAGTCCAAAATTGCCTCCAGCGTGATTTGGCACGGCCGCGCGAAAATCAGTGCAATTCTCGCACGGCCGCGCGCGAATCGCCGAACCTTCTGCCCAAATTCAGCATTTGGCACGGCCGTGCCAAAAATAGGCTAATTTTGGCACGGCCGTGCGGGCCTGTTTTCAGCCAATTTCAGCATATTTTTGATTATTTCACTTTTGGCCCATATTTTCTCCAAATTTGCAGTTTTGACCTCAAACTTTTCCAATTCTTCAATTTATACCTAAAATACAATAAATCAACTTTTTAACCACCAATTATCGTTAAATCACACCAAAAGCTCAAATAAAAAGGTACGATAAAGTATAAAAATATATACTTAACACACCCCCAAACTTGATCTTTTGTTTGTCCTCAAGCAAAAACTAGCAACTTTCACAGCAACACTCTCAACAAATGCCTCTCATCACATAGATTAATGGTCAACTTTCATTTTTTCAGAACTTGCAATTATCATGACAATTCTCAAAAAATTACAAGCTCGTAATTCAAAGATACGTATTCACTCACCATTGCTAAAAACCACAAACCATGCTATCGCTTCAAGTATCCCATATTTACAAATTAAAAATGGAGAAAATTTATACTTACATAATAATATTCAACTCCAAAGACTCACCAAATTTCTCTACTCGGCTAGTATCAAATAATTGAGCTATTGGGATCATTGGGACTTTTTGGCTTTCAAATGTTGGGCTTTTTGGTTCGAGGTAGGAAATATGGGTATATGTGGCTATGCTTTTTGAATTGAGGTGATTACGCCAAATTTTGAAAGATAGGCGTTTGAAACAATGAATTCACCTCTAAGGACTTTAATAAACTCGATTCTTAAGAGTTCAAAAGTCTCCACTTTTGCTCTTAAGACAATGGATCGAGCTTTCAAAACAATTCAACAACTAGTCCTTACTTCCCCTTCTAGTCTCTTCTTCTTCTTTCTCTCTCTTTTTTTTTTTTTTTTCTTTTTTTTTCTTTTTTTTTTTTTTTTTTTTTTTTTTTTTTTTTAGGAAGAAGAAGGACCTTATAAAAAAAAATTTCGACCGAACTCCAAGGGTTAATTTTTCAAAAATCTCCACTTATTCTACCTTATACACATTGGCTAAAAGAAAGAACACCGTTTCTCCAAGGCTCAATCAAGGTTCGAATGATAAAAATTTAAAGGTAGGCTTGAAAGGCTCAAACGGTTCAAAGATGGCCCAAATCACTTCCCAAATTGCTCAACAATTTAATATTTCACTTTGTAAATTCCTAAGGCAAGTTCTAAAACCGAATAGCATATGATATAGCATAAATTAATTCCACGTTTTAAAACACAAAACTTTCTACCAAAGCAAGGCATAATTCGTGATTCCTAACAATGACTCATTCCTACGACACTTTGAATCAAAAGCTCACCAAAATTCAATCACAATCAAGATAAAGCAAGCAATTTCATAACATCAACCATCTTTCATCATCATGATTCATCGAAGCATTTATCTCAACACAAATTTTTTTTTTTTTTTTTTTTTCGAAAGAAAAAACTAAAATAAAATAACTCAAATAAAAAAAAACTTAAGGCATGCAAACTAAAAAATTAAAGCACATAAAAACAGGTAATTTTCCACCCCCAAACTTAAAATTTACATTGCCCTCAATGTAATTAACACGAAGTTTAAGGATAGAATACACCTGAATAAGTCGTCTTGGCCGTCTCCGGTTTTCTCTCCACCCTCGCCTTTATTATGCTTCTGTTGAGTTTCGCACGGCCGTATGAGATTTTGAACTATTTTCCGCACGGCCGTGCGATTTGCCAAAATTGGGCAGTAGCATCCAGATTTTTCACACGGCCGTGTGAAATTAAGCCTTGTTTTGGGACGGCCGTATGAGCTGCAAAATTGCGATTTGACCCCTGAAAATAAAAAAAATTGCTTATTTAATTAGTTTGCATGCTTATAAAATAAATAAATAAAATAAAACAAGAAACATAAATAAATAAATAAAAACAAAAATCTCGGGTTGCCTCCCGAGAAGCGCTAAGTTTATAGTCTTCAGCCAGACTTTGTTCCTTCTCTTCAATTCCTTAGCTTTTGAACCCATCTCTTAACTTCCTTTTGGAGAAAGTCTTGAATAAATGGGTTGATCCGATTCTTCTTTCGACTGGTTCGCTTAGGAATGCCCTTGAATTTATTCTTCTTGATGTCATGAGGCTTGCCAACATCGTCTTTTATCACGGTGTTTTGAGTAGGTGTTGTAACCAACTCAACCTTTTTCTTTTGTTCTCCTACATGCACATTAGTATCCACAAAAAAAATTAAATCATGTGATTTAACAGGAAAAAGTTTAGAATCACTTACCTCATCAAGAAGATAACATCCATTAGCCGTAATAGGCTTTTCATCCACCCGGTACACCTTGAAGATCACCGTTTCGTCCCCCACACTCATTCTTAGCTCTCTCTTTCCTACATCAATAATTGATCTACCGGTTGCTAAAAAGGGGCGTCCTAAGATAAGGGGAATATTTTCATCTTCGTCTATGTCAAGTACTAGAAAATCAGCCGGGAGTATGAACTTATCTACTTTAACCAATACATCCTCAACTATACCTAAAGGGTGAGTAAAAGATCTATCGGCTAGCTGCAAGGTCACGGAAGTAGGCTTAATTTCTCCTAAATTCAATTTCTCATAGATTGATAAAGGCATTAAATTTACGCTTGCCCCTTGATCACACAATGCCCGCCCAAAATACCTAGTACCTATTGTGCATGGAATGGTACAACTGCCCGGATCTCTAAGCTTCGGTGGAATTTTATTTGCAAGGATAGCACTACTTTGCTCATTGAGGTCTATGATTGCTGCACACTCCGGAAGCCTCATCTTCTTCGATACAAGTTCCTTTATAAACTTAACCCAATTCGGCATATGCTTAAGTGCCTCAACAAAAGGAATATTAACATGCAATTTTTTAAGATAATCAAAAAATGACTGAAATTGCATATCAAGCTTAGAGTTTTGAAAACGTTGAGGGAAAGGTACCTTGGGAGTAGGTTCACTTACTGTGATCTTTGTGTTGCTTGGCCCGACCTCGGTTTTTTCCTTGGGCTCCTCTACAATAGGCGGTGGTGCAACAGACTTTTTAGGACCTTCCTCTAATTGCCTCCCATTTCGCAAAGTTACTGCATTGCACTGCTCGATGTTGCTCTTTCGAGGATCTTCCGTATTCGACGGCAGTGCTCCCGACGGCCTCGCGTTTAGTTGGGTTGCAAGTTGACCCATTTGTGTCTCAAGGTTCCGAATGGATGCTTGAGTCGACGTCATGAATTTTGCTAAGATGCCAGCGAGGTCAACTCCTTGGGGTGGAGCTTGAGGCGGATTTTGGAATTCGGGAGCTGGCCTTTGTCCTTGCTGATTTCCTCCCCATCCAAAGTTGGGGTGATCTTTCCATCGCGGATTATAAGTGTTGGAGTACGGGTTCGTCTGTTGTCGGTTGGTGTCATTGACGTAATTTAGAGACTCCGTTTCTTCTAAGCACTGGCCGGGTCCTTGGATTGCATGGACTTGCTGAGTCTGCAAAGCTGCTACTTGCTTTGATAGCTTTTCTAACTGGGCGGTGATTGCGGTGACACCGTCTAACTCCAAAATTCCTCCCTTCTTTATGACTCCGCTATTTGATCGGTCCGATGCCCGCATGTATTTGTTCCTTGCGATTCGCTCCAAAAGTTCGTAAGCTTCGTCATAGGTCAAGCTCATGAACATACCGCCAGCTGCTGAATCGAGCACCGTTCTCGAATTATCTAGCAATCCATCATAAAATATTTGAAGTTGCCGCCACTCTTGAAGTCCATGATTCGGGCATCTCCGAATTAATTGTTTGAACCGCTCCCACGTCTCGAATAGCGCTTCACCGGCTTCTTGTATGAAATTTTGTATTTCTCTCCGGATTCTCTCAGTTTTTGTTGGAGAGTTGTATGTGTTCATGAAAAGTTGTGCTAGCTGGGCCCAAGACGAGATGGAGTGCGGTGCGCGAGTTTGTAACCATTCTCGTGCCGCTCCTTGTAAGGAGTGCTTGAACAGGCGGAGTTGCAGTGCTTCGGGGGATACTCCGTTCATCTTGTGTGAATCACACGTCTCGAGGAAGTTGACCAAGTGGAGATGTGGGTCTTCATGAGCCAATCCGCTGAATAAACCATTGTTTTGAAGCATCATGAGGAGTCCCGCTCGAATTTCAAAATTGTTGGCTGCAATGGGGGGCTGCTGGATGCTTGATTGGAACCCATTGAGTGTCGGGACGGTGTACTCATGCAGTGCTCGTTGACGAGGTGGTGGATTAATTATCTGGCGTTGCTCTTGCTCGTTGACGATATTTCCTGCCGCATTCGGTAGGCGCCATTGGTCATCTCCCCTACGATTATTCTCTTCTTCCATTCGCATAAAAAGTACCTAAACAAAAATAATAAAAATAAAATACGCAAAGAAAATAATTAAATAAAATAAATAAAACGGCTGAAGTAAGAAAAATTGCTCAAATTTAATATTAGGATAAATAGATAATATAGTCGTATTCCCCGGCAACGGCGCCAAAAACTTATTGGGTGCTAAATACCAACACGCAAGTGCACGTATCGCAAACAAGTAATAAAGTGGACTCGTGAGAGTCGGATGTCGATCCCACAGGGAATACGCAAATTACCTAACCCTAAGTACCAAATTCTAACAATTATGATTTTTATCCAGCCTACGCAAGTTTGTCAAATTAAATCAATTAAACAACTTAACTAATAAAGAAAGCAAATAACACAGGAAAATATCAATTAAAACGAACCTAGGATTTTATCTTCCCCCTATGCAAGAATTGCTCACCCAAAACCCCTCAATTATGAAATATATGATCCATGATTATTAACCCGAGACACTAATTTACTCATAACCCGCTGTCGCGTGTATTATGAGTCTATTATTCATAGACGATTCACTATATGTCTATGCAAACCAATTATGAATAAAGCATTAACTAACAAGTCTCGTAAATGGCTACCTAAGGTGATATCTGTATGTCTACGACACCACATGCAATTGACACACTCATCCGGTGAAAACTACTCGAAGGTTCTTCTACTTACCGTCTAATTATCAAAATAGCTCTGTCGAGTCAATTCCAATAATCACAGATAAAGCACATAAATTGATCAAGTTCATGCACTAACAATCATAACAAGTATAAGAAATAATCATAAAATCATAATTGCATAATCTCAAGAAAACGGGTTCACAATCCCCGCATAGGGTTCCAACAAAATCCTAGATTAAAAACTTAGCTACTCATAACGAAAAACATAATAAAAGTAATAAAAGTCATAGATTAAGAAAAAGATAGGTGAAAGAAGAATTATGATGAAGAGTTGTCAATTCTCCGTCTTCGATTCTTCGTTCTCTCGCTCCTCTCGCTCCAAGGTTGTGTCCAAAAGCCCCCTTTGATTCGTGCTTGGTTTGGGCTTAAATAGATGTCCCAACTTGGTAGATGATTCTAGGTTTCCTTGTGTGTTTAAAAGTCCAAAATTGCCTCCAGCGTGATTTGGCACGGCCGCGCGAAAATCAGTGCAATTCTCGCACGGCCGCGCGAGAATCGCCGAACCTTCTGCCCAAATTCAGCATTTGGCACGGCCGTGCCAAAAATAGGCTAATTTTGGCACGGCCGTGCGGGCCTGTTTTCAGCCAATTTCAGCATATTTTTGATTATTTCACTTTTGGCCCATATTTTCTCCAAATTTGCAGTTTTGACCTCAAACTTTTCCAATTCTTCAATTTATACCTAAAATACAATAAATCAACTTTTTAACCACCAATTATCGTTAAATCACACCAAAAGCTCAAATAAAAAGGTACGATAAAGTATAAAAATATATACTTAACAGTCCGCAAAACAAAGGTTTGTCACAACTGGTGCTGTAGGCGCAATTTGAACACCTTGAATTCTGCCTCGACTTTCTTCATGCTCAATCATCGCAATTAGAATCTCTGCACACAATATGAATAAATACGGAGAAAGAGGGTCTCCTTGACGAAGGCCCCTGGACGGGCGAAGGTGACCACACTGAGAACCATTCACAATAAAAGAATAAGTGACGGTAGACACGCAAAGCATAACAAGATCAACAAAAGAGTTGTGAAATCCGAATCTGACTAGCACCTCTCGGAGAAAGTTCCATTCAATACGGTCATATGCTTTGATAATATCCAGTTTAGCAGCCATAAAATTTTTCTTTTTTTCTGGAAGTGGTTCGAATGTGATGGTTAATTTCAAAAGCTACAAGCGTATTATCGGTAATAAGGCGTTGAGGAACAAAAGCCGACTGGGTAGGAGATATAATGTCGTTTAAGATTTTCTTGAGGCGATTAGTAATCATTTTGGAACCTATCTTATAAACGACATTACATAAACTAATGGGACGGAAATCGCTAACACGTCTGGGATTTTTCGTTTTGGGAATGAGGACAATATGAGAAAGATTGAGATTTTCCGGAACCCTTTTAAAGTTGAGAAATTCAAGAACGCAACGAGTGATATCGGGGCCTGTAATATGCCAATACTTCTGATAAAATATTGCTGGCATACCATCCGGGCCCGGAGATTTAAGCGGGGCCATTTGGGTAAGAGCAGTGATCACTTCTTCCGGCGAATAGGGTTGAGTAAGCATTTGGTTTGCCTCATTTGACACCCTTGGAATAAGCAAACCCACTGCCTCTCTCATTTCATCAGCATTTGGACTACTCGAATGAAAAATTTTACCGAAATATTCAGTAATAACCTTCTCAATATCCGATGGCTTTGTTTTCCACTCTCCAAAATTGTCCTCAATACCACCAATGTGATTAGCCCGCTTACGCGTAGATGCTTTTGCATGAAAAAAAGACGTATTACGGTCCCCTTCCTGTACCCACTGGATCCTACTTCTTTGTTTCCAATATGTGTCTAAATCCCCGTACAAGTGCTCGAGTTCATTATGAAGTCGACTTTTCTCTTCATTGCTTCGGGCCGACATAACCCCTGCTTGAAGAACTTTGAGCCTTTGTTGAATATTCATAATCCTTTTCTTTGGATTCCCTAATACATTTTTATTCCAACGAGTCAAACCTACTCGGCAAGCATTTGTTTTTTCCCTCCACATCTCAATTGGATCCAGTGTTGTGCCTGCTGCCCACATTTCCTCGATAATTTTCGTGCACTCTTCATGGCTAGTCCACATGGTTTCGAATCGAAATGGTTTTGTCTTCATATTCATAAAATCACGAGGGTATCCAGCCAATTGCAACAACAAAGGGATATGATCAGACCCTGCCGAATAAATGTGTTGAACACGTTACTCTGGAAATCTAGCAACCCAATCCGTCGAACAACAAACTCTATCCAATCTACTACGTATAGTATGAGGTGCCTCCCTATTATTACACCACGTGAATTGTTCTCCCTCAAAACCCAAATCGGATAGACCACACTCATCGAGTGTACTTCTGAATGCTTCGATCATACCTGGCATTTTTGGAACCCCACCGATTTTCTCCGAGTTACAAAGAATTTCGTTAAAATCGCCACCGATAACCCATGGCAAAGCCATTCCTTCGGCCAAAGTCCGGAGTAAGTTCCAAGATCGGTGTCGTAGTGTGTGATCTGCTACCCCATAGAACCCCGTGAATCGCCAAATCCCTTCAATTCTTGGCATCGAAACTGTAGCGTCGATATGATTTTGGGAATAACTTAGAACATTCACTGTGATATCCTTTCTCCATAGAAGGGCCAAGCCACCCGATTTCCCAATTTTATTCACATTCAATCCAAACAGATCCCATTTCCTCTTTAGAATTTCAATCTTCGCCGCATCACATTTAGTCTCCGATAAGAATACCAGATCGGGATTAAATTTTCGGATAAGATCCCCAATACAATGAACTGTCAAGGGGCCCCCGAGCCCTTGACAGTTCCAAAAAATACAACTCATTAAAATCACATGCACCCTCTCCTTCTTCCTCTTCTTACTATGATTTCCATGATAACCAACCAGATCTGCCCGGTATGGAGAGAGATAGCCAATGCAAAAAATGTGAGCGATGAAAGGTAATTGGAAAAATCAAGGGTTTAGGAACAAAACTGACGCCAAATGTTTTGAGGTTCTGAAGATTTAACAAAGGTTACAAGAAAACTATTTGAAAGAACTAGTTAGGCTATAGAGATCTAAATCAGATAAAAAAATCCTGCAAAATTCTTTGAGGAAGCCTCTCACATAGAGAGAAAAAAGCCTCTCACATAGAGAGAGAAAAGACCCGTGGGACCTATATCTTAAGACCCCTTGAAAGACATATTCTTCTATTCTATCATCTTCTTTAATTTACATAATCCCTAATCATCGACTCCAGGGGCGGACTATGAGACATTTAAGTGGGGGCTAAGCTTCGGATAAAAATAATGAAAAGTAAAATAATAATAATAAATAAATGTAGATAATTTAATCTACATTTATTTGATCTACATGAATCGTATTATGTTTCAATGGTTTGGGTTGATGTGAAGACATTAGAACAATCGACCCTATCTATATTAAATGTCAAAGAACCCTATAGATTTCAGACATAAACAACCCCTAAATATTAAAAATAAAATCACGTAACTCGTTAAGATAATTCAACAAAATTCTAACATGCAATTAAAGAATGAGAAAAAAAAAAAAGAGATTAATAGGGAGATAATGAAATGGAATTTGTTAATTGTCTTAAGAGTTTCTAATGGTATGTAAATCCATGATTGTGTGGAGAAGAAGAGAAGACATATAATAAAAAGAAAAGAAACTTATTGAAAAATTTATTACTATTTTGATGATTGTTTCCTAATTTTAAAAGTAAATAAAATTAAGAAAGAAAAATATATTATTAATTAATTATCTAAAATTTATTTAATAGTGAGTATGTGCAATTTGTCATTTGTTTTTGGTGGTAGCAGGTCTAGGTACTGTAATTCATATTGAATAATTATGGGACCTCTGTTAAATTTTAAATAATAAATTATATATGTATATAATTAATTAAAAAAATCAAGGGGTGACAGCCCCTCCATGCCCTTGAAAGAATCCACCCCTTATCCAGTATCGGGCGATATGGCAAAAACCCAAGCTCTCTGTTTCGTTTCTCCCCATATGGCGATACAGGATGGCATATCGCGCGATATGGAAAAAATGCAAGCTCTCTGTTTCATTTCTCCCCATATCGCGATACAAGATGGCAATATCGCGATATGGTGACTGTCTGAACTTGAAACTCCGTGTTGACCCTTTTTTAGGCCGAATTCGACAAAAACGCATTTCACAAAAGTTGTAGCCCTTGCAGTTGGCTTTCTAAATCCATTTGAATCAGCTCAATAGGAGGTCGTATGAAGAAGTTATGCATAAAATACCGAGCGCTGCCACCATCCACTTGATTGCAATCTTTGCTCTTGTTTGACTTGATTCTCGGCTTCGCTTTCAAAATCGTCTCGAATCGGCAAAAATAGCTAACAAAACCTAAAAATATAAATAAAACAAGAAACGCAATAATATATACAAATAAAGCCGAAACTCGGACGAACGAAGACCAAAACTCGAAGTTTTGATAAGCGAAAATCGTGCAAAACGAACACTTATCACACCCTCAAAGTTAGATCTTTACTCGTCCCGAGTAAATCAAAACGAAACTACAACAAAAAGGAAATAAAAACAACAAACTAAAACTAGGCCACTAACGTAGGGAAACACGATTGCATTTAGCGTATGCAACAAGCCGTTGAACCCCTGGGTACCCCCAAAGGACGAGTTGTGTCTCGTGAGGGTTTTCAGACAACACACCCACAAAGTTGCCGGATTGGTCAAAGCATTGCAATTAATTTCAAAGATAAAACGAGCTAGATAACCTAAAATCTCATAATGGCCCACGGCTTAAGGTATTCGACTTTCCTACCGACGCAATTAGTTGTTTCTACACCAAAATGAAAGATAGACTCAAGAATCCGTAATTTAAACAATAAGCACAATCATCGAGGGTTTTGAGTAGAAATGTGGGTGAAAAGTAAGTTTTGATTCAGAAATTCAAAAACTCGAGTTGGGCATAAGTAGGTCTATTTATTCAAATAAAAGAAATGACAACTACAATATTTTTGGTGATTTTCATCACAATTTTTTCCTTTTTTCATTTTTTTTGAAACGGGCATAATCTTGACTCGTGCAAGGCCCGACACCACTGTGTTATCTCCCTGACCCATTTATTTAACTTTAGTCCAAGAAACCCCCAAGCTCGACAGCTCGGGAGACTTAGGCGACGAGGTGCACCCAACGGGTTAAGCTCGAGTCAGAAAGGCGGGGAAATCAGAGCGTGAATCACAACAATACCACAAATTATTATTTTTCTCTTTTCTGTTTTTTTTTTTTTTTTTTTAATAGACAAAAAAACATAAAATAAAAACGTAAAGACCATTGATAGAACTTTTAGCCAACAACTCGAATTGTGAACACATAATTCAATTCTAACTCGCCCCCCAAACCTCAGACTATTATACCCCTCAGAAAAGTGTGCTCAAGCTTAATCGGAAAGGATTCGAAAGGCTATCCACACAAGTTGCAAAAACGCAGTCGGAAGGTTCATCTATTATTAGCCGGTTATCCACAATTTCAATTTTAAAATCAACTAGCCAGTCTACTACTTCATTAATTGCTTTGCTTCAATAGAATCCGGAAATGCAACTTACACTCGATCCTAAATGAAATGCATGTGACAAACATAACACAATTACGGAAATCAAAATACATAAATGAATCTAAATTATATGATATGCATGCAAAAGACCAAATCAAAATAAGCTAAACTCACCCCCAAACTTAAATCATGCATTGCCCTCAATGCGAAACATAAAAGATATGAGAAAGAAATACGCCCTGAACAGTCTTGCCGCAGATTGATCAGTGTTCTACGGTTGCGAAAGTGTTCTTTGGTTGCACGGGGTGCCGTGGATTTTGGCACCGAGGGCGACTTGCCGGAGTTGTCTAGACTTCCCGACTTCTTACTCTTCTTTCCTTGGGGACGAGATACCGGCAAAAATCAAGAAAAATGGGTGAAATCTAGCTTTAAACCAAAAAATACAAAAATAAAAGAAAACTAACAAAATAAATGACGAAAAATAAATAATGGGTTGCCTCCCATTTAGCGCCTGTTTTACAGTCGACGGCTCGACACAATTTGGACGGATTATGTCCAATCCAAAACCTTGTAGATTGCGCATCCATCCGTCAGTCTTGATACATACTTTGCAATCATATCATGGACTAGATTGCAATCTTGTAATGACCATCCCAACCCATGGTACTTTTCGTTTGCTTGGGAAATCAGTCGGTAGGAGACTAGGATGGGTTGCTTGCCTACCGATCTCTCAAACTGGTATACAAGATATTCGAGCTTTGGAGTAAGCTCTACCTCAAAGTTGAAACTCGTCTCCTCGCTCACACTCAAATCCGGAGTAGCAATGTGGATAGGATTTTGTTCGTCAAGTTCCTCTACCATCATCTTCATCCCACTTTCATCACACGCAAAAGTATCTACAGAACTGGGATGGATAATTCCCTCAAGGTGCTCAACCTCATCGTTCATACGAAAATCTGTAAATACCTCGTTGTCTTCATATAGGATGGTCGGATGTGGTTTGTGAATGTGACATCTCTGAAAATTTTCGAAAATATTTGCCAGGAAGAGGAGTTCGTCTTGTAAATAGCACAAGTGCTCATTTGTCTGTGCAATTCCATTTTCTTGGTTCAACCTTCGATGTCTTTCAATATCCTCCAACTCTTGTTGAATGTAATCAGCTCTGGATTGAATCTCGCCAAGAGAGAGATCATAAATCGAGGCCATCAATGTATACAAATCTGCTTAAACAAATGAAAAAAAATCAAAATAAAAAAATAAAATAAAAGAAAAAATGTCTAAAGCAAAGCAAGGATAGTTGGTAACGATATTAGTAAATTCAAGATTAACTAATTCCCCGGCAACGGCGCCAAAAACATGGTCGTTGTAGTATAGTGGTAAGTATTCCCGCCTGTCACGCGGGTGACCCGGGTTCGATCCCCGGCAACTGCACCAAAAACTTGATACGCGTAAAACCTACGTATGAAAAACCGCAAGTGTACAGTATCGCGTTTTGTAGAATAGTGAATTCCAGATATCGATCCACAGGGAATTAAGTTCATAAATTTACCAAGTACCGTAATTATACTATCCTAAACTTTATCTAGACGATCGAAATGGTGGGGGATGAAGCTAAAAAGAAAGAAACAATAATAAAAGCAACGGTCCGCCAGTAAAAGCGAGGAATTCCGACGTGTGATGGCTTCTAGGGTAAAATCCACCAATGTACGATTTCGATAAAGATCTACAAATCCGAATCTAATGTCAATTCTATATTCGCTAACCCAGACACTAAAATACCCTAACCCCCGTGTCCAGTGTAGTTAGAGTCTACCCACAGGTCCGACGTCTCCGTTCAGAACCTGATATTAAGAGAGCATTTAGGTCAAGTCCTTAAGGGCTACCCGAGGTGCATCACGTCTCCATTTCCACACCCCGAGCTATGTTTTCCTAACTTCAAACGAGAAATCCTCTCTCGAGTTCATTCCCATTTACAATCAATTCAACTGTTGGCCAAACAATCGAAAGCATTTAATACAGGAAAACATAAACATAATCAAAGAACGACAAATAGATCACAAATCTGGAAATCAAAATCAATATATACAAGGTTTCATTTCCCTAAAAGAAAATGCTTAGTTCATTACAAACATAGTATCAAAATGAAGAACACGAGAAATCATAAACTAAACGTAAAGAAAAAGCTTATGAAAAACCCGAGTCGAAACCCTCGTCGAAGCTTCCTGCGAAGAACTGGCGAGAACCGAAGAGAAAACCGAAGAAAGTCGGTCCAAGAAGTCCTCTCCAAGAAGTGAATTGATTGCTTCTATTTATAGTAAGGTTTGCCTTTTTAGATATTTTTTACACATCCCGAGGCCATATCGCGATATGGACATCAGTATCGGGCGATATGGCAAAAACCCAAGCTCTCTGTTTCGTTTCTCCCCATATGGCGATACAGAATGGCATATCGCGCGATATGGAAAAAATGCAAGCTCTCTGTTTCATTTCTCCCCATATCGCGATACAAGATGTCAATATCGCGATATGGTGACTGTCTGAACTTGAAACTCCGTGTTGACCCTTTTTTAGGCCGAATTCGACAAAAACGCATTTCACAAAAGTTGTAGCCCTTGCAGTTGGCTTTCTAAATCCATTTGAATCAGATCAATAGGAGGTCGTATGAAGAAGTTATGCATAAAATACCGAGCGCTGCCACCATCCACTTGATTGCAATTTTTGCTCTTGTTTGACTTGATTATCGGCTTCGCTTTCAAAATCGTCTCGAATCGGCAAAAATAGCTAACAAAACCTAAAAATATAAATAAAACAAGAAACACAATAATATATACAAATAAAGCCGAAACTCGGACGAACGAAGACCAAAACTCGAAGTTTTGATAAGCGAAAATCGTGCAAAACGAACACTTATCAAAGATCTGATCAGAAAGATTCAAAGTCAATGATAGATATAACTCATACATGTTTCATTAGGTCAATTAATTCAAATGAATAAAAAAATTAACTTCGTACATAGAAGTGGGAAAAATATGCAAAATAACTTGCGAACTTTATTAACAGATGCTCAATCTGGTCTTGATATGGAGGATTTATTCCCTCATTAATCTAGAAAACTTTATCAATTTCTCAAAATTTAGGTTTCAAAGATGGATGGAAGATTGAGAAGGAAAATAAGGGACGTAGTTGAGAAAATATTCAAATTATTAAACATAGAACTGAAAAAAAGAAAAAAAAAGAAAAAAAAAAAGAAGAAGACGAAGACGAAAAAGAAATTGAGAAGAGAAAGAAAAGATGAAAGAGAACTTGAAAATGGAATTTAAGATCATTTTCTTTTCTTTCTTTGGTGTAACTGATGCATAATTGAAATTCATATTGAATTATCGAGACCATTGAATTTCTTTGAGGTTCCATTTGGATGGAGGGATTTGGGGAGGGATTTGATTTGGGGAATGGATTTGAAATGACTCCAATTTTGGAGTCATTTGAAATCCATCACTATTGCTCCAAAATCAACTAAAAAAGAGGGGTGGGGATTTGAAATCTATCTCCAAATCCCTCAATCCAAACAAGTCCGAGGGATTTGTTATTATGAATTTGAAATCCCTCCATCCAAATGCACCCTGAATTTCTTGTATGACTAACATTTTTTTTTTTTTGAGATAAAAGACATATTATTAGACGACATCCGTCAAATTCATAGGAAGGTTGAAGCCCTCCAAATAGTCGATACAAGGAATTTTAGCAATAGAATGAGCTAAAGAGTTGCCTGCACGCTTGATAAACATAAAATTACACGAGTTAAAGGTACTCGCAACAAAACAACATTCCTCAACTAGTGATCCAAACGACGAAAATTCAGCTTCTCCATTACGAAGGGCGTTGATTACTTGGATACAATCTCCTTCTAGAATGACGTTCTCCCATCCCTTTTCCTTAGCCCAAACAATAGCCCTTAATGCAGCGAGAGCTTCTCCTTCCACTGGGCGGAGGTTTCCGTCTAGCCTTGTCACTTTCCATCCCATGCATGTACCCTCGTTGTTTCTTGCCACAACAGATGTAGTTAGAAATTTTTTACCTATTGGAAGTGCTGCATCGAAGTTCAATTTGATCACATCTAGTGGAGGGGGGATCCACTCGCTTGGGTGCAGCTGTGTAAGGTTGGCATTGGGTCGAATTTGAGCTGCCTTAAACGTTGCCAAATAATTGCAACTCCAAGTCACCAACTCGCACGATAGCAAGTACTTCTCACCTTTCATATCTAGGTTCCTATTATCCCAAGCTTTCCATGCAACCACCAATGCTAGAATGAAAGTTTCCTTGTCAAGCAGATGCTGCAAACTTTCCACCCAATGCCGAGTCGAAGAGAAAGTGAGGTCATGGGCTAGGTCGAACGGGTGACTTCTCCAAACTTCCGCCATTCCTCTGCAGTGAAGGAGCACATGTAATATCGTCTCGTCGCCGCCATTACATGCTGTACAGAGAGGAGAGGGGCAGATTTTCCTCCGAAATAATTCGGCGTTGGTCGGGAGAAAATTTTTTTTGAAACGCCATAAGAAAACACAAATTTTCGGGGGAATGGGAATCTTCCAGATTTCTTTCCAGTTCTGAATGCTCACTCCACTACTTGAACCATTATCAATTACACGATGACGACCGAGAGGTGAAGGGCATGAAATGATATGATGGTAACATGATCTGACCGTGAAGTTCCCGTGGCTAGAAAAGTGCCAAATCCATCTATCTCTCACGGAGCTTCCTCCCACCGGGATAGCCAAAATACGATCAACATCAACCGGCCAAAACGTAGTTTGAATCAGATTCACATTCCATGATTGTAAGTCAGCAGCCATAAGATCCGAAACCCGATTAGGGAAAGCCGAGTCGGGGGGGCGTCTAGTAATTACCTTGAAACTGCCCCCATCGCTTAGCCATGGGTCCGCCCAAATAGAAGTTTCGATTCCATTACCAACTCGACGTCGAATACCAAGATTAAGATAAGGGATCACACTCCAAATGCTACGCCAAGTGGCGGACGGTCGTGACCCCAATGGAGCCGACAAAAGACGTCCTTGAGGATAATATCTCGCCGAAAGAATTTGTCCCAGCAGGTGGGATGGATTAATGAGTAAGCGCCACGCCTGTTTAACGAGAAGAGCAATATTGAAACTACGAAGATTGCGAAAACCGAGGCCCCCTTTCTCCTTAGACTTGCACAACTCCTGCCACGATGTCCATGCTATTCCTCGGCTAGTCCCGTTACCCCACCAAAACCGTTGAATAGCTGCCTCAATTTCCATAAGTAATCCTTTCGGCAACATGAAACAACTCATGATATATGAGGGGATCGCCTGCAGAACCGATTTGATGAGGACCTTTTTCCCTGCTTTCGAGAGTTGTTTTTCCCCCCACCCCTTGATTCTTGACCATACACGGTCTCGCAGAAAAGAGAAGACTTCCTTTTTGGTTTTTCCCATGGAGGCCGGCATTCCGAGATATTTGTCGTGCCGCTCCACAACCTGAAATCCCAGGATGTGATATATAGAGGTTCGTAAGCTTCGCGGTGTGGACGGGCTAAAGACCATTGTAGACTTTTCATAGTTGATTTCCTGCCCGGATACCTGTGCATATTTGGACAAAATCCCCTTCAAATAAGCTGCATAAGTTACAGTAGCTTCTCCAAAGACGAGGGTATCATCTGCGAAACACAAGTTGGAGATGATCGGCGCAGTCGGGGCCACTTTAACGCCACTAAAGTCACCGCGCTCTGTAGCTTTGGAAATCATACCAATCAGGACTAACATTTAATAGATACATAAGTTCATCTTTTCCAGTGCCTTTGTACATTAAAGTTTAAAAAATATCAATTATTTTCATAAACATACATTAAAAGACTAATTATAAATTAATATTAATTATTTTAATTTTGATAGGGGCATTTTGATCCTCACAAAAAATCTGAGGGTTTAAACTTTTATCCATTAGCTTTAGATCCGATTTTCAGTCAATCATACTCGATTGTGGAGGAAGAAAAAGCACATTTACATGTTCTGCAGCATAAGCTTCCCCTATGATAGATCCTTGGGAGGTCTCGTTTGGTAACTGTTCCGCAAACCGATCATCAAACAACAGACAACAAAGAATATGATGAAAAAACTCTCGCCCGGACAAGCTAATATACGAGTGATGGGATGTACGAATGAAAAGAAATTATTTCCGCACAAAGTTTTTATATTTATATTTTGACTTGGCATGTTTCCAAAGGCAGAATATGGATCGAAACCACAACACTATCTATCGAAACCATAATATTCTCCCTTCGTAACTGTTTTTTCATCTCTTTACAGAATATAAATCATTTGTGTTGGTACAAAATAAACCTACAAAATTTTATTCACAATTTCATGTTAAGCCGGCAGACTTCTCTCCATCTTCAATCCTTAGTTGCTCGACCCTGGCCACGAGGCATTTTCTTTGACGCCACTGCAAAGAGAATGCCATTCAAAGTTAGCTCAACAGCACAAACAACACCATGCACTTGCTCACAACACTATACATACGATACATACAACATATACGTGGAGAGAGAGAGAGGTACTTACGATCTTCCACATCCTTCAACTGATAGTAGTGGGGTGCTAATTCCACCAGCCATTCAGGTTTAAGTTCGGTCACCTACATGTCAAAATCCATATATTAGCTTCACAACGACAATCACAATAGATGTAAACTATACATACAGTTGAACAAGGAGGAGCAGAACTTTTACCTGGCGCATATACTCTTTAGTTGTTAAAACCAGCTCATGGTAGATGACCCATCTCGGAAGTAACTGCACGTGAAAAGTAAAAGATATGTCACTGCCAAGTACCGATTGGTTGTTCAAATCTCATAAATATTCGTATTTTTAACAGTAAAAAAAATACATTAATATATGAAAAAAAATGCATACACAATGTTTTAAGTTTAAGACGCTTGATGGAAAAAAATAAAAAAAGAAAAGAAAACGGTTGTACCTGTGCTAAACCGGAGCTAGGGTGAATATGAACAGTCTGTGGATGTTTGACAGTTCTATAAGATCCAGAGTTTTGTAGTCTTGCTGAGTGGGGGAAAAACCCGGCTGTTATGGCTTTCTTTACTGGGTCTAAATCGTTAGGGTTTGTAGTCAACTCAATTTCAACTCTTTCCAAAAGCCCTTCCAGTTGATCCCGTATGTCTCTAGCCCTCTTCATGCTTCTGACCTGGAATATAGGAATAAGAAAATTTAATAATTCAATACTAATGAACAAAGACAATTGAGTAGAGACCACCAATGGCCAAAAAAGTAGAGAAAATCTACCTGGATATAATTTTCATAGCACCATTGCGTAGAAAAGTTTGTTTCCTTCCACGAACTATAAACCTGAAATGTAACAATAACATGAGGATCTCAACATTGGAACTTGGGGTCTAATGGTGTTGAACTAACATAATAAAAACTTGAACAAATGCTAACTACAACAAAATTACTTGAATAACACATGTTTTTACTACTTATTTGAAAATGGCTTAATCCTACTACTTTTGCACCCCAAAATGTAGAATGCTGACAGTTTGCGTTCTTGAAAAAGGTTAATAGCATCTTTTGCTTCCTTGAAATGCAATAAACTGTAGAAAGTACACTCGAAACCGGTTTTCTAAGAGTTGATTTGAGGTGTTTTTGTCTTTTCAGTAGCATTTCTCTTCAAAATCCTAAGTGCCAAATTTTCGGAGTATTACCAAAAGTACTGTATAATACTAGAGTTGTTTCATAGCTTATTCATTAATTTATTTGAGCTCCAATAGTTTCAATTGTTCTTTTTCTCAATTCAGGGGTACTAATAATTTGAATTAACTACACAAGTTGGTTATTATTTTTCATGAATAATGCAAATATACAGAGAAAAACACAAGTGCACGAACCTTCAGCAGAGCAATATGATCTCCAACGTTTCCCATGTGAAAATTCATACGAGCATTGTCTGCATGGACTTGCTTGTCCTTCGGGCGATAGAAGATAGAATTTCCAATAGACAGCATCGCAGCAACAGATATGATCTCGTCAGAGCACTGGTATTTATCAGAGGCAACAATCATCTTCGACAGCATAGGGTCGAGCGGAAACTCAGCCATCCTTCTACCGAGTTTCGTCAACTCACCATGCTTGTTAAGTGCACTCAGCGCATACAGCAGTTCCAATGCCTTCAACAAAGATTCAGAAGGTGGAGGGTCCATGAAGTCAAAGTTAAGCAAATCATTGATACCAAGACTCTTCAGAGTAAGCACTACATTCGCCAAGTTAGTCCTCTGTATTTCAGGTACGGTATTATCGTCGAGGTCATTATAGTAATTATAAGCGGTATACAACCGAAAACATTTCCCGGGACCCGTTCTTCCAGATCGACCCGCCCGTTGTTCGGCAGATGCTTTCGATATAGGAGTAATCAGCAAAGATTCCATTCCAGTTCGAGGGTTGTAAGACTTCATCTTAGAGAAACCTGGATCGATGACGTATTTTATACCGTCAATGGTCAATGAGGTTTCGGCGATATTTGTTGCAAGGACAACTTTGCGGGCCCCTTCGGGGGTGGGTTCGAATATTTTAGCCTGCAGTTCTGTGGGTAAGTTTGCGTAAATAGGACAAATGATGAGTTCGGCTATTTTTGTCCCCAATCCTCGAGTCCTATGCTTGAGAATCTCTTCGACAGTTTCAATCTCTTCTTGTCCGGTTAGGAAAACTAGGATGTCTCCATCGCCAGGTGGCTGTTTGACGTGGATTTGGAAAATGGTCATAATTGCAGCGTCCAGGTAATCAGCTTCAGGGGCGGTTGTGTAATTAATTTCGACGGGGAATCTCCTTCCTGGTATCTTGAAAATTGGAGCAGAATCGAAATAATCACTGAACTTCTCAGCGTCGAGAGTTGCACTTGAAATAAGTAACTTGAGATCGGGTCGAAATCGGGCGATATCCTGTGACAGAGAAAATGGACATTAGGCAGTGAAACAGACTCCACATAAAGCAATTTGTGTTGGCTGCTATTTAACTAATTTGGTTATCTAAAAAGTAATTTGTTACGAAAATGATAAAAGCTTACCTTAACCAAGCCAAACAGAATATCGGTTGAGAGTGTTCTTTCATGGGCCTCATCAACCATCACCACACTGAAAATTGCAACACCAAATATTGGTTACAACTTGTACACAAGAAATTATGACACAATTACTTTTGAATTTGTATATACCTGTAACTTGCAAGGTCGGGTTCTCCAAGGAATTCACGCAATAACATTCCATCTGTCATATACTTTATAACCGTCTTATCTGAAGTACAGTCTTCAAACCGAATAGAATAGCCGACCTAAAAAGCACCAAGTACATGAGTCAACACGGAATATGATATATTGATTGACAAAGAAAATGAAATACATTCACGCAACCGTTTAATAATGAATTAGCTACTATGGTAAAACTGTAAAAGCAAAAGGCATACCTCATGTCCAAGTTTTACTCCCATTTCTTGAGAAACTCGAGCCGAAACACTCATGGCAGCAACACGACGTGGTTGGGTACATCCAATCTGTACACCACAGATATTTACAATGCTTAGCAAGTTTAAGTTCCAATAAATTCAAACAAACATGTTTAACTATTCGTAAGTTATTACATTTATATACTATTCTTGAAAGATATATTTTAATAAATAACTCTCCCAAGTGAATAATAAGGTTTGACAAATTCTTTGCCGTCTAGACTAACTTTGTTTCACAAGATAATTAATGTTTGAAAACTTCTTCAATGAGAATTACGGGATTTGTTTTTTATCTTTACAGAAAACATGATAAAACAAGGTCACAGTGACCTATAAACACATGTGCCCTTAAGTGTGTATCGTCAAACCAATAGTATAGGTGTACGCAATTTTTCAGTAAACTGGAAAGTTAAAGTAAACGTATCTTCTTGGCTTTCCCGGAGTTAATACAGTTTATAAATTCAAATCCAGAAGGGACAATTTTAAAGCAACTAAACTTACACAAAAATTACATATGCCCAACTAAATTCTTTGAAATATAACAAGACAGTACAACATACTTGCTTATGGAAAGTATGATCTGTAAAAGCAGAAATATGATTGGAAAAAAAAAAAACTTTTACCTTTCCACGCGCTGTGAATCCTGCCTCGTGAAGGTACTGAGGTATCTGCGTAGTTTTTCCAGAACCCGTCTCTCCAACAATAACAAGAACCTGATACTTGTTGATAGCTTCGAGCAATCCATCCCTGTAAGCATAGATTGGCAGGGTCTTCCTGACACTCTGAAAATCGAAGGGTCAGAACAAAGGTCATACATCCTCGATACTAGTCTATAAATAACTAAACAGATTTTTAAAATCAAGAAATTATGAATTTTACAAATAATATTATCGAATTTTACGAACGTGGATTCTGAAGGACACACCTGAAGGTTTTCTAATTCTGTTTTGGCGGTAGAATCCTCTGGTGACTGCACGGCGGCATCCTGTTCAACCTGCAGACCAAGGTGAAGTTATTATTAAGACAAGTTGCAACTAATACCTTCAAGGGATTCTTATTGTGTTGTGAAGAGTTAATAAGATACATACATTTACACCACCCATAACCGATGCCTTTATGAACTCTATTTGGTCTTCAAAAACGAAGCTGCACAAGGGAACAAATTATGAGAACCGAGCATCTAGTTGTCAAACGAATTCCATACTCCTCTTAATTAGGATTTAATGCACAATAAACTTGACGTCACTTACTCGTAATCGTCGTGTTTTTGCTTTTTATCCTTGGATCCAAACTTAAGAGTTGCTTTTCCTGAAATATAATAATAACCATACGATTAGCAATTGAAAAATATATGTGGAGTATACAAAATGGGTGGCAAATACTCTAGAATTACCAATCTGATGTTCCTCCCATGCTTCTTGTTCCGCGAACGGGTTCATCTTTTCTTCTGCAGCAGGATCCCTATAAGTGGCAGAGGTAATTATTTACTTTCATGCCACTCTTATTATAATAACAATTATGCATACAAATGTGTAATTGAAGAATACTAACCTGTAACGCTGTAATGCCACAGCAAATCTCTTTTCTTGATTCACAACACCATCCTGGTCATATGCGTCAGGCATCCGATACTGCAATTCACCAAAAGAACAAAATCAAGAAACGTTCATATTTCTAACCAACCTTCGGACTCGAGAATTAAAACAATTGGAAAGTCAAAGACATGTCGCAATATATACTGTCTGTGCAAAAAAATATAACCACTGCTGACAAAGAGCTATTGGAAAAGAGCAATGACAAACATGAATCGGATGAAAAGTGAATCACCTCATTTGTATAATCGGCCTCTTCTGTCCTCTTCTTCACGAGCTCATATATTTCTCTCTTATATCTGCCAAAATAAATTCAGTTCAGTTAAACATTTTGTAAATGATAAATGATAGACACAATGTAAACATTTAAAATTTTAAGCAAACGTGCAAAATGAGGAGACAAGTTCTATTTGAGAAGGCACACATAATTTGCTACTCGTATCATCTCATTAAATTGGGGAAATGTGATATTACTTCTCTCTCAACATTTCACTTTCGTTGGCTAAACTGTTATATCATCTCATCTCATTAAGAAATGAAATGCAAAATTACTTTTCCTTTCTAACATTTGGCTTTTGTATTTAAGCAATCTGTAATAAAATAAATTGCTAAACCAATACATTGCATAATTATAGCATCAACAACAAAGCAAATATGTATTAAAGTACCAAAGTAAAAACAGATGAAACACTCGTGGTGTAGATAAAATACAACTGAACATAAACGTACCTTTGCTCACGTTTCTCTGCTTCAGTTAGTTTGACACCCTCAAATAAGTACTGCTCGTCTTCTATATCATCTCTGGATTACCCCAAAAAGAGTGCAATGTTACAAACAACAATTAGGCAAAACAATAACGCTTTCATTTCAAGTTTCAACAGAAAAAAAAAAAAAAAAAAAAAACAATGCAATACAATTAATTACCTGAGCTCATCTAATTTCTTTTGCTCCCTTTTCTTCAAATACTCTTGCCTCGACACTTTCCTGATACAGAAGACGAGATAAGATGTACTCTTGCCTTAAAATTACCTAACTCAAGCATTTGATATAAGAAATGAATACCAACCTTAATGTGCCAATGCCATCATCATTCTCGAGAGCATCAGATCTTCGAATTGCCTCTTCTGTTAAGAGATGGACCAAAATATATATATAGTCAACAGCGCATGATACTCTAGAATGTGCGCAAATCAAAATAAAACAATTAACAAAGACGTCAACATACGAGCGCGTAATCAGTCCTATATAATTATGAAATTAATTTATCATATAAATTAGATTATCTTACCTTCTTCCTTCTTTGTTAACTTCTGGTCAGTTATCTGTAGAAGAATAAAAACAAAATAAGTTAAACAGTTTCAAAAGAAAATCTCAAGAAGAATACCTTGAATAATATTTACAATACACACGATTTTATACATTATTGAAAATAAAATAACATGACTCTACATGAATTATGAGAAGTTCAGAATATCTTGGAAGTTAAATTAATTGATATGGATAAAACGCTTTATTTGGCAGAAGAGTCGACTGATTGCATTTGAGTTAATAATAGTTGTATGCCATTACGGCATAAAGATGAATTTCCAGCTAACTGAATTCTTGAAAATAAGTGATATGACAACGATCTACAAAGTAGCACAGTAGGAGACCCACAGAGACAAGAATTAAGTAAAGCGAGTCATTAATTTGTACCTTCCTGGTCCCTGCTGTATCCTTTTCTCTGATATTACGTTCCAACTGCTCTTTTTCTCTCTGGTCTTGCAGTATTTTTTCTTCTTCTGACTGCAAAAAAAAAAAAAAAAAAAAAAACCAGTTGCATATGGTATTACAGAACTATTTGAAAGACTATGAAAATAGAACACAAAAGGAAACAAAATATTTATGCATAAGTAGAGCTAAAAACAAAAAAAAACGGACGAAGGCTTTGACCACGGGAATAGAAATGAAACATAAGCATAAACATGACAACAAAGAACTAGTTCAAGTCCTACACAACCTGTAAGCAATGACCTAAGAGACAGGCGTAGAAAGAATAATGCAGCTGGTATATAAAAAATGCGAAACTCCTTGTAATGGCATAAGCATATTTACGTGAGGCACAGCTAAGGCTCTAACCTAAGTTCCTCAATCTATACATCGTATTATTTGTATCATCAACAACTGAAAAATAACTTCCCACGCAATTCTTTGAAAATAATTCTGCGAGTATTTTATCTATCTTGCATGTGGGTCCTTAATCTTGTAGAGGGAAACACCTTTAACCAAACCAAGCTCAAACTCAATATTTAAACCCAAGATCACGTGCCAGAAGTACATAACCAAATGAGAACCATTACCCTATTGTATTTACATCTAGCAATTATACTGGATGCTTTTTGCATAATAATCATAGAACAAGCAAGGTTTAAAACAGAAAAAAATCTCATAAAAACATAATAGTACCTCAGAGCCATTATCTTCATCACGTGAAGTCTTTCTTCGTACTCGTCTGTCATCACCTCCACTTTTTACCACCTACACATTCAAAATCAGTTAATTAAAGCATCTTACAAATACAAGAACTGAAATGGTATCTCATCATCAAAGAAAATTACTGAGTATAGAAAAGAAAAAAGATGAATACCTCATCATCATCCATGTCGTCCTGAGTTTCACTTCTTTTCCTGAACTTCTTGCTTCGATTTTTTTCCTTCTTAGGCAATGGAGCAATCTCATCATCCTCATCATCTGCCTCCAAAAGTTTGTAAGTCTTCTGTTTCTGTGCGAGTTTGGCCAATTCCTTCTCCTGCTGCTGATATAGCTGACAAAAGGGGAAAAAAAATTGTTACCAAACTATGGGACAGTCTTTGAAAAGTGAAAACACAAATGATTCCAAGAAATTTGATGTGAGAGAAAATAGAAACACTCACATTCGGCCCTGAAGACCTATGCTCGACTCTTGCGAAAATTTCTTTCGCAAATGCGAAAGTTTCCGCAGAGGATGAGATCCCCAAATCAACTAGTTGGTTTACAATATCTGAGGGGGATGAGGCCTTTTTAGCTGCATCAATAAATATATAATAGTTACATACTTTGTAGAAATATACACAAAATAAATACAAATGTAAATAATGCACATTAATAAGAACTCAGCTTTAAACCTAACTTACATAGAGTAATCACATACTGAACCACAGTGGCCTGTGAATACCCCAAAAGGGCCATCAATTTATCAGAAACCCATGTCTTCAAATCACCCATTCTCACTGCATTGACAGAAAAGGATGAATTCATTTAATTACGCAAAAAATTGAGCATTAAAATTGTACATATCAGGCTAACACGAAATTCACTACTTCAATAGAAAAAGAGGGATGGAAGAACCTGAAAGCTGTGATCTCGTGGCTATTTCACCGCCGGCGAGAAGATATACACCGTCGTAAACGGCTCTTTTTTCTGCTGCTGGATAGAAACACAAAACAAGCTGGGGTTTTTCGTTCGGGAATTGATTTTGGGGGTTTTGCGCCTCTCCTTCCAAAAACAAAATCGAGGAACAAATTGCACGAAGGTGTTTGTATAAATTTCAATTTAGTAGTGATTAAATTTAGAAAGACGTGGTTAATAATTATTGGAGATAATTAGATGAAGGGCGGAGGACTCGAAGAGCTGGCGGCGGAGAGAGAGAATGGGAGCGTAGAAGAGGGGAGGAGTTGGACGGCGGAGGACGGAGAGAAACAACCGTGCGCGGCGGTGGTGGAATCGGAGATGGGGAGGTGCGGGAGAGGGTTTAGTCAAAAGAAAATCAAGAGGGATTTGATAGTAAGATGTATTTATGTAAGATCGTTACTCATGAGTTCTCTCCAATTATCCCTTTTTCAAAAGGGTTTTGCTATTGCAGCGGGACTTTTACTGAAATTGGCTTATTTGCAGCGGTACCTTTTTCATTTAATTTTTTTTTTCTTTCAATTTCTCTCTCCTATTCCAAACACTCTCTAGAAATTCGAATTTCGTAAAAAAATTTGAATCTCCCTTTTTCTGGAGCACGAAAACTCGAAGAAAATTCAAGTTTTCGTGCTCTGCAGAACGGGAGATTCAAACGGCTTGAATCCTCCGTTGTGCAGAGCACGGGAACTCGAATTTTCTTCGAGTTTCCGTGCTCCAGAAAACGGGAGATTCAAATTTTCATGCTCCAGAAAACGGGACCTTCAAACTGTTTTTTGAATTTTTATTTTAAGAAAAAAAAAATAAAAAAAATTAGATATGAATCACCCGTGTTGTAGAACACGGGAACTTGAATAATCTTCATGTTCACGTGTTCTACAGAACGGAGGACTCAAAAAACATGAGATTCCCGTTCTGCAGAACACGGGAACTTGAAGATACCCAAGTTCCCGTGTTCTGCAGAACGGGAACTTAAAGTTTTAATATATATATTTTTTTTAATATTTTTTTCTAAATATCGAATTTTCTAATTATTTGAGGAACATGATAACACATATTCGGATTATTGTACTCGTTTGTACATTCATCATCATTTTTTTCGTCAAAATCACCATCATCACCCTACCAAATTATAAAAATTAATAATACAAAGGAATATAAAAATTAATAATACAAAAAAAAAAAAAAAAAAAATTTGGAAAATTGATACCCAAGTTCCCGTGCTGTACAGCACGGGTAACTCCAATCTTTTGCCCTTTTTTGATACTTATCGTGCTGTATAGCACGATTAAACCAAGTTTTAATTTTTTTTTTCTTTCTTTTTACCATATAAAAGTTATTCGGATCAGCCATTGAAGAAGTCGTTGTTCGTTTTTGAATTTGTCGAACGAGCTTCAAATTCTAAGTTTTCGATTTTTTTGAGTTGAGAGCGTTTCGGTTTTTTTAGAAAGTTAGAAAATTGACAAATGAGACTACCGCTGCAAATAAGCCAATTTCAGTAAAAGTCCCGCTACAATTAGCATTTCAGTTTTCAAAATTACCTTATTCCTATATAATTCTATTTATATATAAAAAAATAAAAAAAAATAAAAAAGAAGTGCTTAGGATATAGGTAAATTGTGACAAAACTAATTAGAACTAAACGACAAATCAATCTAGACTTTTGTTTCACGTCCTATATTAAATTCATTCCAAAAATGACCTTTCACTCACAAATTCAAAATTTACATTAAGTAAAATTCAAACTACATTTATCATTTTTTATTATGCATTTAATATCTTATTTTTTTCATCTAACATATTTTATTTTATTTTTACAGACTTTGTTATCTTTATTTTTTCATTTTTCACTCTAGCATTTTTTACATTTTTATAAACAACTTAATTTTTTTTCTTTATTTTTAACATTTTACTGAAAATTATGAAAAAAAAAATCGTTTTTATTAAATAATACAGTAGATTTTAAAATACTATGGTGTACTATGGTGTACTCTGGTGTACTATGGTATACTATAATTTATTAATATTGAAAATTATGAATGTTATTTTTTTAAATCGATCGTAGTCGACTATAGACACCTATAGGAACCATAGTAATCCGTAGTCAAATACTCTTAAAATCCTAGCTCACGTTTTGAACCATAGTCGCTACCTATTCGTAGAACCTCATAGTAATTCATAAACATCCGTAGTCATTCGCACTCATCCAATATGAAACCCTAGATCCGCCACCATCTCCATCTATGAAAATGGATTTCCGAAATCTGCCCATAATCATCGAACCTTCCATCCTCTTCTTCTATGTCTCACTTTCCATCTTAATTAGCCTTCCCCTCCTCTAAATCCAACATCAAATTCTAACCAAAATCACCGTCGCCATAGAAGAAAAGCACCACAGACCAAAACCGCCGCCGCCGACAGCGACCAAAACCACCGCCACCCGCCGCCCCCAGTGACCAAAACCGCCACCTCCCCTAGCGACCAAACCCCTGCCGCCCCCAGAAACCAAAATCATCGCCGCCCCTAGCGACCAAAACCACCGCCGTCTGCCGCCCCTAGCGACCAAAACCACTGCCGCCCCCAGCGACCAAAACCACTGCCGCCCCACACCAAGATCTGATCAAAAAAATTCCTACAACTAATACATCCAAGTCAGCACCACTACCGAAAATAGAGAAAGAGAGAGATAGAGAGAAGGGGAAAGAAAGGGTTGGGGCCAATGACGAAAGAGAGAAAGAAGGCCATAGTGGGGTGATGGGAAATTTGAAAAAAGAGAGAAAAGACCATGGTGGCGGCGGATGAGAGAGAGAGAGAGAGAGAGAGAGAGAGAGAGAGAGAGAGAGAGAGAGAGAGAGAGAGAGAGAGAGAGAGAAATAGAGAAATAGAGAAATAGAGAAATGACAGGAGAAAAAGAAACGTTGATTTCTATTAGATATAATAAGTATTTTTGGGTTAAATAAAAATAAAAGGATGTTGATCAAATTTTATTTTCAACTAAAAATTTAATTAATTAAATGTTATATTTGAGGTTGTCCCTCACATCTAATTATGTTTGGTTTGAGGGGTGTCTCAAATATTAACCCAAAAAAACAATAAAATAAACTTTTTCGTTTAGAGAGAAATAGTTGATAGGGGGTTAATATGCTTGGGTCCTAGTAGCAAATTTAATTAGAACTAAATGATAACCCCAAACTAGTTTTTTTGAATACGTCCCTATTTCAAAATATAATATGTCTCACATCCCTAATAATTTTTGTATCCGTAACTTATCCTTCTGCCCTAAATATAAACTCTATTTACGTCTTTCCAACTCTAATCTGTTTCTTTTCTTTTATTCTCTCTCTCGTTCTCTACATGTCGCTCTCGCTCTGTTGCTCTTTCTCTCGATCTCTCTTGCTTCCAGTTCTGGTGGGTAGTTATGTCAGCAGTGGGGGGGGGGGGGGTTGTCATGGAGGCGGCAGGTAACGTGGGGTTGTTAAAAGGCGGTCATGGTGAATGGAGGCGGCTATGGAGGCGGTGCATATAGTGGAGGTTGTTATGGAGGCGGCTATGGTGAGTGACGGCAGCTATGAAGGTCGTAGGTATGGTTAGGGGTGTGCACGGCTCGGTTCGGTTCGGTTTTTTGCTAAAACCAAACATTAACTGAATATATCGGTGTTTGTAAAATTAAAACTATGTATGTCGGTTTTTTATCGGTTCGGTTTCTGTTATTTTTCGTTTCAAGAGTAACTATATATCCAAGTTGTACAAACAAAAGAATACAGTTACAATTACTTTCATAACTTACTAATGCAATGAAAATATAAAATATTTAATCCCATAGGACTTAACGTAATTTAGATGATGTATTATGCTTCAAAAAAATTTCCTACTTTCATCTACCACATTATATTAGCAATACTTCAATGTACGGGTAGCATTGCAAAAGGTAAGAAAAAATAAATATATGATAATTAGATTGTATAAAAAATATAGGGTAAATTACACCCACATCTTGGGGTATGCTTAAATAACTTTAAGGTCCCTGTGGTATCGATAATTATACTCACCCTCTGAAAAATAGTTAGAAACTCTAATTGGGATAATGCTGTTAACCACAAATTTTCGAGTCTGTAAAATATATAAATACAAGACAAGAAAATAAGGAACAAATAATTTATTAATCAAACGATGTGGATTACAATCTCTGTAATTCCCCTGATTCTTCTCTCATATTCTAATTTTGATTCAAGGGCTTAATAGCTTGTTCTTGAATCAAACATATGATTTCCTATCACGAACACCACGAATTCAAATATGTTATGAATTCGAGGCGGAGGCTCGAGACGTGAGCTTGAGAGCTCGATATGAATCTGTGTGAATCTGATTTTTAGATGCACCAAAGATCTTCTTTTATAGGCACAAGCTAGGGTTAGGGTTTCTCAACTTGCAGAGTGGGCAAGACATTTTAAAGCCCAAATATGTTATGGACTTTAATTAATTTGAGACCTAATCAATAACTCATTTATTTTCGTTATTAATGAGTAATTTATCTCAAAATTTCGATGTCTACAAATGCCTCCACTTCTAGTCTCGTCAAAGAACATGTTGCATATTTGTGAGACGAGACTTGAAATACTCGAATTTTCCTTCACTTGTTGCCTTCAAAACTCATTTCCTCCATTTTTGGGGTGTATGGAATTTTCATCATTTTTTAGGACTTAAATGGGAAGTTTATTTTCTGATATTTGGGGTGGAAATTTAATTTCGCCTTTCTGAGTTTGCGGCCCCAAAACATATTTTCTCAAAATGAAATCAAAATAAGATCCAAAACGCTTCCAAACATTGTCATACTATTTCTGTATTTCCACATGAAGGACCCAATTGCAGTTTAAAAGACTTGTTAACAATTGGGTATTTGTCATTCTTGCCACCAGGACTCCGTAGAGGCGTGTTTGGAGAACAAGAACAACTTCCGCATTTCCTACGCACACCGGCCACACACAATGACAAGCAGCATAGAGGAGATGGAACGGGGCTAGGAGCAGCTTCGAGGCAACGTATTCGTGGTTGCCGGGAAACGAAGCGGCACTGCTATTAAGCCTGTGGGAGCTCGAGGTTTCACTGGGATTTGGATACGTGTGCAACGACACTATAGGTGATAACTCCGGCGACTGATTTAGGCGGCGAATCAGAGTGCGATGGTGGAAAGTTCGTACTGACAACAATTTGAAGCGGAAATCCGATGAGCTTGTTGCAGCAGCATCCTCGAACAAACATGCTTCTCCTCGTAGAGGAGACAAAGTGATGACACCGGCGAGTGCTTCAGGCGGCGATCGGTAGTTCTTTGGTGCAAAACTAGCTTTCGAGAGTTATCGATGGAATCTCCAGTGGAAAACAAGGTGCGACACTCCCAATGGCGGCGGCATATTTGGACGAGTGGAGCTGCGGAGG